CATGGTAGGTCGTCTAATAATCATAAAGTTTCTGTAGTAGTGAGCATTTTTATCAGTAACCTCAGTGGTAATCTCAGTGACGATTCTAAATGACTCGCCTGAATGTGAATTTGTGTGTTGGTACGCAAAATAGTAATAACTCTGGCGCAGCACCTACAATCGAGTATTTCTCATGCCTAAGGAGGTAGAATGCGCAACATCACTATAGTATCGTATTAATCACAAAAATAGTATGTTAAATGTTAAATGCTTTATGTTCGAGCAAATGGAGCTTCAGAAACAGTTTTTTTCAATTTATCCTTGTTTATGTTTGTTTGTATGGCTATACGATAAGTTACATGAGTTAGATTTGAAACGTTCAGTTTTAGAGATAATAATAATTTATGATGATAATTTATATTTCGTATAAACGGGTAGGTTTGCAAATGGAATAAGTCAAGTGATTCATACGTTTATTTCTCGTCTAAGTCATCAAGGCGTGATGTCAGGGTAATTAAGCCACATCATTTTTGCTTTCAAAATGAGAGAGATTTCGTAAGTAATAAGGAAAATTTGTCGGGTGGTGGCTAGTTCCTGCGAGGATTTATACTTAATACCAGTAGATTCTTTTAATTCCATTCGTCTAACACTCAACGAAGATATTATTTGGGCATAATTGACATGCAGTTACCGCAGAGTCATCTCGTTTTAGGAAAGGACTGGCTGCCTTCATGTTTGATTCCGTTTGGATTCGGAAAATGTTGTCCCACTAAATTCACTCATTTCTGCACTTTTGCCAGCGGAGCAGGATTTCTGTCCGATTATTCAGCTCCGAACTATGCAGTGGGTTATTTCGGTTACTTAACAACCATGTCGCGGTTCGAAATTCTCCAAGAATCTATCTGTAGTCTTAGAGTATGGAAAATAAGGCAAATATTTCTGGAAGATGTGTTAAATTCATCGACAAACCATTTTAGGCCGGAGATAGGTCCTGAGTAGAAGGTTTCTGTGACACTTGCTGACATGGAGTGTGATGGCATTGTAAAGGCTTGTAGGTTCAGATAAACATCGGACGATAGAAGAGAACACAGAAGAATGCGTGAGGAAGCCAGTGGCAAATAAAACTGCCCATTCGCAAGACCTAAAGAATCAAAGTAAAAACGGTCCCTGGCCACATTAGCAAGGTATCTCCCGAAATAGGTTATTGCATTTAGATATTTTGGAGATCATCAGTGATCACCATATCATCTAGGTGGGCTACAGTGGCAATTCTGAGGACTGTGTTCTGGTTAGTGTAGCGGCTTAGAGATGATGTAAAATTTGGCAGCATCTGATATTTTGCAGTAGCACTTTACAAATGTGAGCATGAAACAAAAGAAAACATACCCTGTGCCTTAAATCTTTTGGAATGGCAACTAAGGCGCTTTGCTCCCTTAGGTTTTGTGACTTACAATGTGCAAATTTTACCAATCATACATTTGTCGAAACTTCACGGTGTAGGACTTTGAAGAATATTGTGAGGATTATTCTCAGTCTTCTAGTCCATTATTGTTGTAGCTTTCTCTGTATGGCAAATTGGAGGCTATTTGAAGGTATCGTTGTGTCTTTTTGATTGTCTACCTCTCAGAATACCATAAGCTTCTGAGTAAAATAGGACAGTATCTTCATAGTGGTTATGTGCTCATTTTGCATGAGGCTATTTTCGGTTTCTCAGGACGAGAATTGCCGTTAACGAATCCGATGAGGCTCCATGCTTTGACTGACTGCTCCGTTGCCTGTTCTCAGAACGAGACTCTTAGAATATCTTACCCCTAAGCCATAGATAGTTTTTAGTTTTGAAGGCAGTAATATATCTAAATTAAGGGAGGTTGGCGCCTTTTCTATCCCGAAGAGCAAACAACCGGAATTTTGTGTATCGACATGTGCAACACCATTTCTGTAGCTCTTTGAAGCCTTTTTTCAAAGGTGTGAGCAAGACTGTTGTATTGGTCTAGCCTAAATACATACAACACTATTTTCAGGTCGTCCGCAAACATGAATTTAGTACAAGAATCGGAGCAAGTACACATATCGTTTGCTTACGGGGCAAAATAATAGTTCCTTTGGCTTAGTCCTGGATTACTTCGCTGGTAACATTATTAAGATAAGAAAATTACGGCTACGTTTTCACAATGTGAGTGCGGTTTTTCGAAAATGAGGCTAGCCAGATATGTAACGTTCCACATAACCCATACGATTCCGGTTCGAAGAGGTGAGAAGGGTGATGAACCTCACCAAACGCCTCGGTGGGATTAAAGTACAGTGGCACTACTACCTTTCATCTCTAGTGTCTTTGTGATGGTCAAAAAATTCTAGTTGGTAGGGGATAAAGGACTTTTTGGGCAAGAGTTTATGTTGTAATGCACTCATAAGAGAATGTTGGAGTTGAGCCCATATGTTTTTTTCCATGACCCTTCCCATAACTTTTGAGAGAACGGTGGTTAGATTTACGCAGCGAAAGTTTTTGGGACTAGTTGTAGTCTCATTCATAAAGTGTAGGATTATGTGACTAGTTTTCCAATAGGTTGGGTAAGTCCTTAATTTCATAATACATTAAAATTTTGGTTGGCAATATAGGAAAGGGCTGACAATTAAAATGAAGGTAATACTAAAAGTAAAAACTTTTTTCTAAAGTGATGTTTATATAATATGCAAGATTTTCAGCGGGTTTGCTGCATAATATTTTCAGTTCGTTCAGGACCTCCAAATAAAAGATTATTTGACAGTAGATCTTCACACAGTTCTGTGTGACCTGAGGCGCAAGCTAATCCATTACGATATCTCTTCCTTTTTCCCTTCGAAAAAATACACGACGTTTTGTTGAATGCCAATTATAAAAGTTCAGGGGCACATTTTGCGAAGTAAGGAAAACACTCAAGAACGGTCATGTCATGTACTGGTTTCAGCTGCAGTCGGGGGTATTGCTTTTCCTCATGTTTCGTAAAAACTTGAGAAACTGAGAGCTGTAAATATTTTAAGTACGCGCCAGAGTGGGTGAATCTCTGAGAGGTCATTTTTTGCTAGATTTTAAAATAAACTAAATAGGAGAAACTACAAGCAAAATGTTGGTGGAGGTTTTCGGTAGCCAAAAGTTCCTAGAGGGCTGCCTTATTATACTCGCATCTTGTTTATCCTGCCACTACTGGAGGGTCTAGGATACCTCATTTTATCTCGTACAATGTGCAAATCAAACTAAACTTCGAAGAATCAATGAAACATTCCATTTGCTGTGTTTCCGGTTTGATGGTCTGCATTAGTGTTACAGTCACCGTACACTGAGGACTACCGGTTGTGGTCCTCAATACAAATCCAAAAAGAAACGCAGTTGTTCCAAATGGATTTGCAGCATTGACAAAATCATCGAAGTTACTGCAAGATTCGTTGTACTGTGTAAAAACATGCATCACGTAATCGCAATACAAACCTCCTATTTCGAGGTTATTCAGAATCCAAATATCAAGAGCATCGTGGCTGAACACAAAATGACTCGCGGTAGACAAAAATGCGCATCCAGGTAGAAATGTATACAATAGTCCAAGATGAACCACGAATATCCTAATTTTGATAAAAATGTTAAGTAATATACAGAGTACAACTTTGGTATTCGAGGGCAGAATATCAGATGTGGGTACTAGTTTATTAATTCTATGACTTAACGGTTCTTGAGGTTTCTGTGTCCACTATTTATGGGGAAGACTCAGATAAGTCATATTAACAGTATGTGGTAGCCGTAATATCGGCCATCGGAACTGATTTGGGGAATTTGGCCACTAGAGTTGACATTCGGTTGGGCGTGCTGTCTATGCCGACCGTCTGCGGTCTTGTTGCTTCAGTGGTCGATAGCGATATACGTTTATTATTGTTTTCGGGTAACGGCCCCGAGTGTGATATATTAGGTTCCATTATAATATTAAAACCTACATATGCAGCGTGGATGCTACCTAAGGATTTCTGATAGCAGTCATTGGTTTCGCGATATGGGTTTTTCAATTTCCTAGCATTCTTCTTAATTGGCATTTATCGAGTGGTAATTTCACCTGACTATATCTTGTTTGTTTGAAAGATGTTTGTCAGTTAAAGAGTTGATGTGTTTACTTAGTCATGTTAAATCTGATTGTAACTGGGCGAAAATTATCCTTTGATAACTGTGTGAGGCGGTGACAAGTACACAGTACTTCTCTTATACAATATGAATTGAGGTGTAGTTTTACCTTGCCTAAACTGGCACTCTCTGGTGTTTGTATGCAACCATGTTCTGAATGACGAAACGAATTGAGATTAATTTAGTCGCTTTGCGTTCTTTAGGATTGATTGTTCAAAAAATATTGTAGAAGGGCTTAAAACGATTGTGGACTAAACGGTAATGAAACTTTCTGGTTGAATGCTCAACAGTACAAATATGGTAATGCTGCAGACGATTACAACTTCTCCTGGAAAGAAAAATGCATTTAAATGGAGAAATATGACTGGGGATGACTGTGCTGAACTATTTCCTTTGATGCTAAATCTAATACTACTTTTTAACACTTCATTTCAAGTGGCCACTTTTCAAAATGTGTACTATGTTATCGCACCAATACAAAGAAAATGCATAAGTTTGGGAATGTATTAGTTTTGTGTAATCACAGGAATATCTTTGCGTCGGAACTGGAACAATTACGGAACACACTGAATGATGGATTGGAATCTGCGGAAATAATATCTATTAGTGATTACTTACCAGATCATGTGAATTCCAGACTTAAGTTGACCTCTAGAATTTCCACTCATATACCCGTTCTTTTACTTGACCTAATTTCTTCACATGAGACAGTTGTCTTTTTTATCTCAGCATGCACTTCAAACTTATGTGGATGCTTGCTAAACACTCCGGAGTCACATCTAAACCCGGAAACTGAGTGAGTTTGAATACCAAGTATGTCATTCACAAAAGTGTTTCAGGGTCGTCCTTCAGACTCAGCACTTCCGAAAAATGCTGCTGGATGAGCGAAGAACCGTACAAATCTTATTCTATATGTGAATTGGCCTCTCTTTTTGCTGGTGGAGTTACGCCAAATACATCTAGGTGCAATCGTGTGTTCTATTTTTTCAAAAGATCATTGGTAAACAGTAAAGAGTGAGTATAATTTCATCTTATTTATTATTCCAAATTAAGTAGACCTCTAAAATCGAGTATAGTATCCGTTCCAGAAGTGTTAAGTAAATACTTTTTTCATGATTTATTCTTCAAAGACTGGCTAAAAAGCACACTATTTCTGTTTTCCGGGATTTTAACTTATTTTGAATATTTGTAATTTGGGTGCATAAAATCCTAATACTTGTGTTACGTAAAGTAATAATGAATTCATTTTAATACCACTATGTGATATTTAAAAACGAAAAACATGCCAGGGTCTCGGGACTTACGAAAGTCTTTGATATGTGCTTATTTGTGATTTTGGAATGGTGAATAGCATTGAAAATTGAATATTTTCCTCTAAAATGCGTAATTAGTAAAGAATACTTGTAAAAACATCACAAAATGGTCTTAAGGACCTCAGTGAGAAGACAAAAATTCAATAAGAATGAAACAGTACCGTATATGGTGACTGTGCATTGTAAAAGCTTAGTTATTTACATTTATCTTTAGCTGTCTCTAAACTTTCATCAATCTTTAACCTAATAATTTTAATATTTCTCAAAATGATCAAACCCATAGCCAATAAAATCCATGCAAACCAACACCTGAAAACCAAAATAAAACCATCTAAAAAGTTCTTATTTATTATAACTGAAATTCTAATCGTTCACCATGGTCTATTCATATTGTAAATGGACATGTACACAGTTCCACATCACTTAGACATATCTACTCAAGATGTGTAAAAATATGCGTGAAATGTCTAACTACGTTTATGAACCTACATGTTTCAGTTATATCCTAGTGTGTGGCCAAATCGATGCCGAATCCTATAAAACAGTGAACTGCTTCAAGTTGCTGTTGTTCATAATCATCCGAAGAGGAAATGAAGAAGAAGAATCCGTACTGTAAATCAGTTTTTAAATAAACAATAGTATATGGTCACCCATTGGGACTGCAAGTGTAGAAGGACTAAATGTTTGACTGAAGGTTTAACGACAGTTAAATCCTTGATTTTTCTCTCATAAACCCATAGATCTACATTTACTAGTACTTCAGAAGTTATAGTCAGGAAGCTCATGCACTGATCGCTTCATAGTAAGCGATAGTGAGTAGAATTTAGTAATTTTTCAGGATAGACAGAACTGCATGACAATCTAAGACACAATAACCTGTAGGGGACATAACGGCGAGTCTGAAGAGTGTACAAAATATCAGAATAAAAAAATACAAGTTAATTAAAGAATATTGTGGCAGTATATTATAGACATACGGATAAATGAGTTATAAAAGTTATTGATTACTCGAAAGTACATTTATAGTCCACTGATACAAATTAATACTGTAATTCACAGATCAGGTTCACTGACGGCGTCGTGTCCACTGGTAGAAGTTGTTCTCCGATTGTTGAAGAGTCTTCGGACGAGAACGAGATATTCCTATAAGTTGCAAAGAATACGACACAGGTATTATTGGAGCAAGTAGATGGTACGAATCAGTAGGAAGAAGAAGGGACGAACAGCACGACTAAATCTTCGTTCGAACTCCAAAGTTATATTTATAAATATTTGACAAAGAAGTCGATTAAATAAGAGTTATGTACAGTAGGTCCATTTGTAACATTTGACAAAAACTGTACAAGTTTATTATTCAGAAGTCCACAAACCTCTTCACAGGTGTACTACAATTGCCTACCGTCTAACTGCAGTCATAATGTAACGTGAACATCATTTCACCTACTCCAGCTGAATTCGCACGCAAATGCAATGTCCAATCCAATCCAAGAGAAGATAGCGGGACCTATTAGTTCAACTCCAGGGGTGTCTGAGGCTAGTAGCAAGGAGTCACTAGATAAGGTATTCAAGGCACTGTTGGTATTTAGAAATCCAGGACATTTTTTATTGACTGATGTAGACGCTGATTATTCTTGTTTGTAATGAAAAAGAAGGAATTTTCTAGTGATAATCGGACGAAAACCAGTAACAAAAAGACGAGATGGAAACTAAACTGCATGAAATAAAGCAAGATTCGCACCTATACTAGGGTGCATTTTTAAGGGAGATTCTCAACGGGTTTCAAAACACAGACACACTGACGTTTAACATTCGGTATATTTCTGGAAATGAGGACACAGTTTGAGTCTGTCGTTGAATTCTGGTGACACTATTTAGGTGAGGTAAAATTATATTGGAAGAGAACAAGGAGTAGTTAGGTTAGAACACAGTAACAACTCATGAAGTCGCCAACTATTCATCTGAGCCACGTATTTCGGTACTCGGGATTCTAAGAACTAACCGTTGCAGACTTTTGATGAAGTCCAGATGTATTCACTTTTGCGCCTTAAAATTCTGAGAAAATCCTATGCGCTTTATGAAACTATTCTCTCCTCTAAATACCTCTTTCTACTGTTATACTTTAGGGTTTTTCCCTTACTTTGTATCTGCTTTGTCTAATTGAAACAACTTGAGCGAGTGAGACTGAAAGTTGATTCGTCAGTCATTAGCAAAAGTGTTGTTAAAAGCCTTCTGTCTTCACTATATTGTTAGATTTCTACACTTAAGAAGTTTTGTTTGTAGGTTGGCAGTGTTGCCACATCGACAGAAGTTCAAAGTGATGTGCTTTTGGATTTAAACACACTGGTTGGATGACAACGTGTTCGTCTCCTAACGCGTTTACCCTATACTTGGTTTCTAACCTAGTCATGTTAGCGCGATCTTCTAAAAGGGTCCAAATTAGAATTAAACATCCATTTATGGCTTTGTGACTTCTGTTTCAGAAGTTAGATGAATTTTAATTTGTTCACTTATAAATATATTATTTTTACCATCAGAGGTTGAAGTTTATTATCGTGAGAAGGTTAGGGACTTCTTGAGCTTGATATATAATCAAATTTTTCAACTCTCCCTCAAAAATCAAGATATAACAGTTAGTTGACCATGAAAAGTCTAGGAAGCGGAAAAAATCACGTGGCAAATTTATCGAATCAAAATCACACTGTCTTAATATGCTATAACCATCCACTAAAATGATTATAGGAGAACAAATTTTTTAGATTACGCTTTACAGTGAAAGGTAAACAAGCGATGTAAATAGATGTATAAAATAAGAAATGCACAGAGATTAATATAGTGGTAAGCGGGAGTAAACATTGGGTCTTAAAGTATCCATCACTATGATCTGCATTTCACTTTCTCTAGAAGACTTGATTTCTGAAACCAAGAAGATTAGATCTACACATTTGACATAACTCAAAGCAGCAGTCAAGGAGTATAAAATTTGCTGATAAAATATGATCTGATCATTCTGTTTTACTTCGGCTCAATAATAATGGGTTAATTGAGTTTTCGGGAGAATCGAGCACATTCATCTCAGCCTCTTAATAGACGAGAACAGCATTTAGTAATATCTTGTGGCACAACCACTCAAGAGTTCTCTCTCCTGGGAGACCATATTCATACAAAATTATATATTTAAAAGATGATTCTTCATACATGATTCGCATTTCAGAGATCTAGTCACCACATTCTGGCATATTCATTTGTATACTTGTTATTCCCTAATAATCGATTCGTGTCTACCTCAACATCTCTTTTTATCTGTTTTCATCAGATTGGAATGGTATTATGAAGATATCATGATTGAGAACCACTTGGTTTTTCATTTCCTCGAATATGAAAGTATAAGTTTCATAACTTAGCAGTACGATAGATAAGACAACTGTCAGTACATATGGCCTTCAGTAAGCTGCAAGATAACTTGTGGGGTTGAACTTTAGCACGATTTCGTTAAAAAACTTGACTTTTCTCCGTATTTATTTAAGGGTATTATCAATACATTTCGTGATCATGTTATTTAAATTACTTGACATCGAAATCACTGGTTTGTCTTTAAAATTTTATGTTGCTTGCGATACGAGAAAAGTCTTACTAACGTGTGATAAAATAGATTATTGAGTAGTGCAAAGAATTACACGGTACTTCTTTAGAGAGAGAGAGAGAAGTGACGAAAATTTATTCACATATTTTGTTTTACAAACTAGCTATTCGGGTCAATAATTATTTGTGTATTTTTCTGGAGAATGTCTGTTTTTATACTCTTCAGCGCCAAAAATGGTCATTATAGAAAAAGGTCTGAAAAGTTTGGGAATAACTAAACAGTTACCCTCGTAGCATAATAAACTTATGATAGGTCCTCCATATTATCAATGCATAGGTTAGGATGTTTAGGTCACTTAATAAAGTTGTAAGTGTTTATTGATCAGGCGGCTGGAGAATATGTTATGCATTCTTCACCCCTGTCTGTTTATCAGCATACTACATATACCAAAGTAAACTTAGAATTAGAGAAAACGGATGGCATTTACGCCAAAATATGGGACCAGTCTATAGAGTTACTGACTGTTGTTTTTAGATTATTAAAGACCTGTTTTTTATCAGACACTAGGTAGTAACTAGTATCATGTGTCTGCTCCTTTGTTTGATGCAGACTAAATTCTACCAGTCAAGTTTCCCACTTGGCCACCATGCTAGATGGCTGGCACTCTGAATTATTGTTATTATATGGTTGGATGCAGTCGTTAGGAAACCTTGAGACTAGTCTCCGTGTTTGTTAACATTCGTCAGTAAGGTGTTTCTGCAATCTTGAAGGGATCATATCCATTCTGAGATTCTAACCCATGTCAAATCAAAGTATCCCACACAGGCCCATAGGAGGTCAGCCGCCAACCAGAATAGCTCAGTGGTAGTGTCTGTGATGGTAGCACTGGGTGTCACAGGTTTGAATCTCAGAAGGCGCATGAGTTCCTTCATGACTGCAGATAGGGCCTTGCCGACTGGTGAGTGCCAATAAGCACGGAACCTGGTTGTAAGGCCTCCTGCCGACTGACTCTAATCATCTAATGACAAGAATTGTTTATTACCATGATAGGGTTTGATTCACCATGGAAGCTTTCTATCGAAGTGATATGGCTCTAAACCAATCACACTGGACACAGACACACTCATTTTTTTTGGTTTCATTTTATTTGCTTCATCTTTTTTCTATCACCTAATAGCATTCTACAGCATTTGGTTGTATTATTCCCACCTGCTTGTATGCTTTTTAAGAATCCGTTGCGTGATATGCGAATGTAATCTGATTATTTTCAGTATTGGTTTGGGTTCATATTGAATATTGGCTGTGAAGACATTGCCTAGAAAGACAATAAAAGATTTACAGTTAAAAGTATTTAGCTCAGTGAATACATCAACTGAAGAGGCATCATCCACAGTTGAGAATCTTCAGAATCGTTTCGATTTGTGAAGACTGGGACTACTACTACTAATACTACTAGTACTACTACAGCCCACTATGTAAAGTTCTATTTTTTCTGTCCTTTTTAACTGTAAAGGTCATTGAAGCGACTGGATGAACTGAAAACATTACTTTCAAGTAAAGGATTGAATGTATACGAATATGAAGATTACAAATCTATTGGATTTATTATGATGAATGAGATAATCAAGTTGAAACAGACTTTGACATTAAAATTGCCTAATTCTGATGGTAAGTCTCTATTCTTATTAATTTAAAGAAAATCTTTTATTCATCAATATCTATTCCTTAGGAAGAACACATAAAGATAGAAATTGACATAGCTATATATGTTCTCTAAGCTGGACAATTTAGCTATTGTATCATTGTCTTTCTGGACAATATCTTCAGCGCTGATTTCAATATGAAGTAGGATTAGAAAATTCTCTTTGAGTTTGATAGTCATCTATTAAAGAAGATGAAGAAATATCCAGAAACAACACTAATCACATTCAATTTTATCAAGGCAGACGGCTATTAAAGTCATGGAGAATTGTAGAACCTCGCTTCATATTGAAGTCAGCTGTTATTATGACGGAGTGTTACTGATTTGTGAGGTCGTCTAACTTGACTTGAATGAGCTCCCGCAACAGGACACTATAACCAAACACACCACTTGAAAATATCTCCCACACTGAGGTAGACACAAGAGTCAGACTGGGGAAAATGAAGACCAGAACGACAACACCAATAGCAACGACCGCAACAACGTTTATCAGACAAAATAATCAGAAACTTTAATCATAGATGAATGGATAAATTTGATTGGTTGTATGAGATCACAATCCCTCAGAAAATTAAGCCATAAATGAACGAATCGAGAACTGTCCAATCAGATTATCATGTTAGTGTATTCACAAGTCATGACTTCAAGGCCGACAAAGTAGCTTGTCCATCCTAACAGCTCTGAAGATGTCGTCCAAACAGATAGTAAAAACATCACAGTTAAATCGTCTAACTTTGAGAACACGACTACAACAATATCGTCCACTTGAACTGTGAATCTTCTCCATCATTTCTTTAACGGTAGGTATTTGTAACACATTCTGTGGATGCTGTATTAATTCTACTACTTTGGAAGATGGCGCTTTCAGTATAGGTCAAGTATCCTACACCTTTGTATGAAAGTAATCAATAGGAAGAAAGAGAAAACTAATCGAACAAACATGTGCTTTCAAGCTACTAAATACTTATGTGTAAAGCGTCTTATAAACTTCAATATTAACATTGTGCTAATTTTAGAGAAATAATTCCTGCAAATATTTATAAAGAGTCAAGTTTGATGATAAGCTGATATCAATTATAGAACTACTGGAAAACCAAGGAGTACTGGATAGCTGTTTCGTCTTAGCCTAGGACTCTTCGGCAGCGTACTCCACCAACCTTACAAAGGATTGGAACTGGGACTTTCAGGCTAACAGGTTGGCCCGCTGGCCATTCACTCACTAGGGTGGTATCCAGTAACCCATGCACCATAACGTCTGTCAACTCACAATACTGCAGGACCACCAACCAATGCTGTCGATAAGCATCATCTTTCTACCAGACATGATGGACCCCAACAGCCAACATTTTTCATTAGAACTTAGTTGGTTGTGAATGCAAATTGGTGAGGAGTCCTAAACTAGGACGAAACAGCTGTCTAATGCTTATTAGTCCTCATTTTTTTCCAAATTAATGTCGGTTTGCGATGAAATCTACATTGAAACACATGAAAATCCAAATAAAATTCGTAATCTAAATATTGTCATTATTTCTCATGATTGTTTTTATTAACTTGTAGATATATTGAATAATGAACAAAACTCAGAATATATTTCATCAAGGCAGTTGAATGAATTAGAGGATATATTAGACCAATTCTGTTTATCTGCTTTCACAGATAAAAGTGACACAGAGATTTCAATGGATTCTATACTAGATTTGTATAAACTTGAAGATTGGAGTTCTAAACTTAAAAGAAGTAATCAAAGATTTAGGTAAATTGAATTGTTTTGAATAGAAAAAAGATTTCATTTCCCTGACTGGATATTGAGATTGTTAACAAATAGTTTTTTTTATTCCTTTACATTCCCGGTGGAACATAGGGCTTCAAGCTAGTGACTTAAAGTTTCCGTAGCAGTGGTGTTTATTTCTTACGGGATGAGGTTGCTAGCCATATGCCCAACCTTCTCTCCTTACCAGTCTTATTACTGGCTTAGCTTAGAGACTCAGGGATTGACTTGCTACCAGGAAATAATCTCGTTGACCTGGAATATACAGACGAAATAGTCCTTCTAGGCGAGGACGCTGACAAAATGCAGAGTCTACTGAACATCTTGAGCAGCAACCTTCGTATGTTTGGCATGCGATTCGCCCCTGTAAAATGTAAGATGATGTTGCAGGATTGGACTACACCGGCCCCTAGATTAGAAATAAGAAGTGAAGTGGTGGGGCACGTTGGCCGCTTCACTTACTTGGGAAGTACCATCAGCCCCAACGGGTTAACCTCTGACGAAATCTCAGCACGAATACAGAGGGCTAGTTTCGCATATGCCAGTTTACGCCGTCTCTGGCGTAGATGTGATATCCGACTATCGACCAAAGGGCGTGTGTACTGCTCATCAGTTCGCTCCGTCCTCGTTTATGGCTGTGATACCTGGCCATTGAGGGCGGAAGACATGAAAAGATTAGCTGTCTTTGATCATAGGTGTCTGGGTTCTATCTCCGGTGTGAAATGGTATAATAAGGTGAGCAATATTGAGGTTAGGCGTCGAGTGCTAGGTAAGGAGAGAAAATTAATAGACGAGGCTGTCAAGCTGCATCGACTGAGATGGTTAGGACATGTATTACGTATACCTAGTCATCGCCTTCCTCGACGGGAAATGTTAGCTGATATAGGGCCAGGCTGGAAAAGAGTTAGCGGTGGTCAAACCAAAACATGGCTTCATCAGTCAATGAAACCCACAACAATTAGTTTATATCAGCTAGCCACGTAGGAAGGTGTAGACTTCCTGGTTGGGGTTCTCGGGAAGGTAAAAACCAATTGTTGGAAACAATTGGTGACATGGCTCAAAATCGTTCTCAGTAGCGCAGATGCACCCACTCCTTGTGACTCATGATTTCCAATTAAACTGTTTTGTTCTTCGTTATTACTATACCTTTGTCTCACACCTCTGTTTACTGTCTATATTATGCATTTCTCCTACTTTCTTCTCTTGCTTTGTGTGCTACATGGCGTGTGGCGAATTGAACTGCCGCACATATGTGCAAAGTTCTATGTCGAAAACAGACAGACAGAAGGAGTGCATCAATCGGAGATCGAACCCCGAACCACATGAGGCGTGGTTTGCGAGCATTCTACAGCTGTGCCGCCGATGCACCAACAAACAGTTTTAGTAAACATGTTTTGTAGTTTGGTGTTCGCATCCAGACTATTGATTGATAGATAGGCCTAAATGAATGCATAAATTTGTGCGGTGTTGATGTGGCACTTCTATGTTTTCAATAATTTTAAATCAGAGAGAGACACTTGGTCAGTGGTCATTTCTTAACAGAGAATTCACAGGTGATACTGACTTATGATGAGAACTCCAATGAATGGAGTGTCTATCAAAACAACCCTCATAGTGATTGATATCACTTCCTACTGAATTCAGTTGAATCAGAAGTGATAGAATGGCTGTTCTAAAACAATAATTGAGCAGATTGACAAAGAAATCGAAACTAATTCTTCTAAAATGTATGGGAGATTACCGGTATTGGTGTCCTGATAGGTAATAAGCGAACTCATTAGCTTTCAAAGTTCACCATGCTTGAAGATGATATAAATAGTTGAGTTTATAGGCACCAGGATGTGAAAAAATAAATTTTTATCATAATCACGAAGGTTCCAGTATTCAACCCCCTTCGGTTTTTTAAGAATAGTGTTCATTAACCTTGCAAGTCTAGTTACTTATATGATAGATATTTGCTGTAATTTTTAGCCTATTTTCACTACACCAAGACACCTTCTTGGCTGTTAAACTTGGCCATGGAAGTTGGAAGATATGCTGAAAAATTTAGTTGTATTTAAACACAGATGTTTGCTTTCTATCTGCCGTGTTAAATGATATAATGTGGTAAGTATTACTGAGGTTAGGCATAAAATGTTTAGTAAGGAGGGAAATCCAATCAACGAGATTGTGAAGCTTCATCTATTAAGATATCTACAACATGTATTACACATGTCGAGCCACGTCTTCCTCGATGAGTAATATTAACTGACATATGAGTGGGTTGGGAAACAGTTTTAGCCCTGAAATCAAAACACGCCACCAATGCATGAAGTCTCTGACTGTTGGTTTAAGTCTACCACTTACAAGAGTATAGACTGCCTGAATGGGGTCCTCGGAATTCTAAGAACCAATGGCTGGAAGCTCTGGAAAATATGTCTTAAAATTGTTCATGGTGATGAAGATGCATTTATTGTTTGTAACCTCTCAGATTCATTAAACACTCATGTTTTCCCATGTTGCTATTCTTTCTCTCGTACACTTCTGGTCAGTGAAGTTCTTTTGAATTTTCTGTTTTCTCTATTTTTTCTACCTCTTCTGTGCTACATGGAGTGTGGCAGCTTGTACTATTGGAAATCTGTGCCAAGTTTTACCATGAAACTTAACCAGTTAGTATAGTGAATTAATTAATAAGTCACAATTAGTCCTTCATCTTAGAAGGACTAAAAGAGGCAATGGACTGAAGACTCCACGCAGAACAGACTGGATTCAGGAGGGACGAGTGGACATAGTAGACGGTATTCTAATTTGAAAACTATTTCAATACTTTCCAACGCCTCAAGCATACATAAACCTCATTCAACAGCTATACTATAATGCTATGTGCCATGTGATTCACAGTGGAAGGCTTACTGAAGCGCTGGAGGTAGAGACAAGAGTAAGAGAAGACTATCCAATCATGAATTTGGTGAATGTGATGGACTGAATCATACGATAAATTATGAAGAGTGAGGGGATGAGAATACGCTGGACCAACTAAGAGACCCTAGAAGACCTGGATTTCCCAGATGATTTGCGTATCACGTTCCAGAGTAAAAACAGAAAGTTGGCAGAAGAGGCAATAACGACGGGATTTCAAGCAAACATAGGGAAGACGGAGGTGATGGAGACAGTCGACAACAAATAATGAGAGAAATATAAAAGAAGTCATCCGTCTGAATTACCTGGCTTGTATGATGTCGCTTCAACTACAGCTAGGTGGTGTCACGAATGACTATATGCAAGCCAACCAGGATCATTAGGGAACGCAACACGAGGAACAAGATAGAAATTTTCGACACTAATATGAAATCAGTCCTCCTATATGTTTCAGGGACATGACACACGCGTTACCGGAAGTATTTCCAACTGGTTTCTGTTTAGATTTTCATCAACGGCTGCGTTCACTGGCTCGATAACGAAGATCAGATGGTCGGTCAGGATAGATGGACGACGAAGAACTCTAGCAATGAACCAGCCAAAAAATTATTGCCCTTAGAATGATGTTGCCTACTTTTTAAGCTCTACATCTTCTAGAAGATATATCAAATGTATATGTTTATATGTTTACTAAAATGCCTACTTTCATGTTCTTGATATTTTGTTTTCCAGACATATTAATGAACACACACAACGCAGTTTATCAGATAATCGAATTCTTTTATTAACTGGTCAACCTGGTGTAGGAAAAACCCGGTTTTTAATGAATTGGTTAAATAAACGAAAACTGAATGGTTTTACCACATTGAACTCTGGTGATAATAAATTCACTACACAGATAACTATTAAAACTCCCAGAGAAATTGATCATAGCTCATATAAATTAAAAAATGAATCAAGTATTATTGTTATTGAACAATTTATAGAAGCAGATAAATGTAATTCAGATATATGGCAATTATTAGATGATTTAAATTCTAAGGCGAGAAAGGCAAGATGTAAAGGTATGTTGTGTTTAAGCTTCATAATGAGATGATGATATGCATATCCTATTGTGTATTCTGTTAACAAATCCATGAATTGAATGATTCAGTTTGATTTTAAAAGTTCAACTCATACCACTATGCTGATGGGGTGCTATTATGTACAAAACCAACTTTTCGTCAAGCTGACTGAAGAAGGAGAAAAACTGTTGTCTTGCCTTAGTAAGAAAGTATGTCCAGTCTGCCTGCATCCCTAAAGTCTCTTGTTGTCGTGGTACAAATTTAATCCATAGAACATAGATATCTTTACAGTCAATTCTTGACAGCCCGGCTAGCTTAGTCGGTAGAGCATGAGACTCTTAATCTCAGGGTCGTGGGTTCGAGCCCCACTTCGGGCGCCAGTGCGTCGGTGGCATAGCGGCTAGGACGCTCGCCGACCATGCACATGGTCCGGGGTCTGATCCCCAGCTACAGACGCACTCCTTTATCTCGCTAAGCCAGAAATAATGCTGGTGAAGAGGAAAGGTTGGGTATGAGGCTAGCTACCCCATCCTGTAAAAATAAACACTGCTACAGAAACTATAAGCCTCTAGCTTGAAGCCCTATGTTCCACTGGGGAACGTGAAGGAAAAAAAATCTGACTGATGCATGTTAATGTGTACAAAGCCTAGGTTGGAGGTTTTCTGTCGACTGCCACCAGGCATTTAATGTCATTTGTAAGAGTATTACAATCTCTCAGTTTCAAACTTGAACAACAGATAACAGTTAATCAGTATATCTTCTCTTCTTGTGCATCGGTCACACAGTGTTTAGGACCCTCGCCAACTATGAACATGCTTCGATCCCCTGCCGACGCATACCTGATATCTATGGTCGGCCTGCAAAATTTCGGCTACCGATATCACATGCTGAAAATTCCATAATTGTACCAAAAATACGGTGTGGAATGAAGCTATAATAAAAAAATGCAGCAATTTGAATTGATAAAACATTTTGTGAAGGGCCTTCCATCAATCTGTTGCCATCTTTTCTCTGAATACAGGAATAATTCTTATTTAACTATTATTACAACAAGAAAGATCAATGAATCATTGCTCAATGTGTTCTCCTCGCTTTGTACGGGTTTTGATTTTTGTTTCTCCATTTCATTTTGTTTTCTGTAGTCTTCTTTATCTGGTTCCTCGATTGCTCGTAAGCTCTCATCTACTCCTCTCCTCACACGATCTCCTTCATGTTATCCTCAGACACCCAACTCGTCATTTCCCACTTGAAGGCCTGTAGTGTGACGCCATTCAGCGATCTCAGCGTGTATCCAATCTACCACCATTTACTTCAGCATATTTGTTGGATGATAGCTTCTTGGTTGGTTCGTTACCAGAGTTCCGTGTTGTTAATCCTTTCCTAGCAGAAATTTGATATTCAGTATGGAGGGAAGTCAGCTGTTGACATAAGTCTGAAACCTGTTCAGAATGCTTCTAGTGACGCACCAAGTGTTTGGACTGTACAGAAGCACTGACCGATTTGGCATTAATGTTGAAAATCCGATTCTTGTTATTAATGCTGACTACAGTAGATTTTTTGGAAAACTGATTCGCTATGGCAAGCTTGACAGAAAACTTAAGAAACGCATCAAGTTCCTTCACTGTGACAGTATTCTTGCTCTGCTTCAAATCCCCGAAAATACCCATTGATGAATATGATGAAAACAAAAGACAGTTTTCTTTATCGACGAAATCATCTTCAGAGGCTGTAATGTAACCGCAGGGTGGAGGGAGAGATTGACAACAGAAGCTTTGTTTATCGAATCAACTGCAAATACATGTAACAGGAATGATTCAGCACCTGTCCCAGATATCTGGAAAATTCTACTACCCCAAAGACGACAAATAGGAGAGAACAAAGAAAACCATAAAACTCAAGTTTCGAAGTCGTGTGATTATAATTGATGTGATTACGAACAAAAAATTGTTTTCGAAACTTTGTCATCTGAGTAAATAATACTGTTTCACTGTGTGATATATCTAGTGACTTAGTTTATCTGAAATGTGTAACGTATTTGAGCAACACATTTCGGAAATTCTGATCACACACGTAGTTGTTATACACATTTTTGTAGAAGACAATATAGCATGAATTATTATAATACAGGTCAAGGTGACAAATAAGGAGTAGGAAGATGACATAAGGGTATGGGGTAAAAAGAGAAGAGAAGGGAGAGGTGAAAATGTCATTGATTAAACTGAACCTTGGTTCTAAATTGGATTACCAAGACAGGTTTAAAGCAATAACAAATAACTTATGGACACATAGGACAGGTTTAAGCCTTTTTATGGCTAAGGTTTTACCAAATTTAAGTATATGACCCAAGCTTGTTTCATATATGGGCTTAAAGACATCATTGAAACCAATGATTTCTCTATGATGTGCTTCGCCACAAATGATATTGGACTTCTGTTTTCGGGATCAGCTGTATCCGGTGTTTTTACTTGTTATGTCAGTCACATGGAAAGTATTCTGTAGCCCTAACCTGCAGAGACCAATAGGTCCCCCCTATGTACGTGTGTCCACGCACACATGTAAATTGGTAAACACAGTGGGATGTGACACTATCGTTCGGATGCTGTGAGTGGAGGTTTACAGGACAGCATAGATCTCGTTTTCTCTATGAACATAAGTAAGTTTTATGAATTGCCACGTTGAGTCTTTGTTTAGTGATCAGACTTTGTTGATCACCCTTGAATAGCAAGGCTATATAAACATCCTTTTCCGGAGCTGACTGGATCGGTAGGGCTCTTTGTTTGACACTCCTGTAACACTTAATACATTTCAACGGAAAGTTATTATTCGACAATATTTCAGTGAGGTGTTGTGTTTCTTCTTCAATGGTGTTGGCTGTACGTATACGGTTAATTTGTATGAGCAAGAACTGTAGTGGACAGAGACATAGGTTACTGAATTCTAATCTACTGGTGGAACGGTAACTTTTCAAGTGAACACCCGTTGATCCTGTGTGTTATCCTTCAGATGACTGAAAGAAACAATTGTCGAGCAGTGTTCAAGTAATTTTCACCAGTTCCCTGGATGTCTCTTTGTTTGTGATTGTGAATGCAATCTAATGTCACAGAATTTGAAGTCACTATTGATACATTACAACAGAATTGAATAAATAAATTCTTTTCTAACTGATTAAAACTGCCCATTAAAATTTTCAAAAGAATGATTACTAAACAAAGAATACTCTTTTCGATAACCCCTTCATCATCAGGCTCTACAGTTATATATCCATCCATAATAGTGAATGAATGAATCAGTGTTATGAACAACATTAATGTTGTTTGAATAACATCAAGTCAATAATAATAACATCAATAGATTACAGTTCAGTAGCGTCAGCATAACAATAAACTGAATGAATATCAGAAAAATTAGGAAAGATAACAATAATACAAATCCATGAAATTAAAGTCTCCACTGAAAACCGGCCAGAGCAGTAGTAGTGGCTGGCTGGACTTGCTTCTTCTGCACACAAAGCACTGGTTGTTTCACGCGAATCGTGATAGCCTCTGCTGTTTGGAGCATGCGGTGCTTCGATGTTTTTGGCAATTTATTTGGCACCCGGTAGAGGATGATAGAGAAGGATTTTTCAATGTCGGTTGACTTTGTGGCCGGTTTCGACCAGATGGTCCAATATCGAACTGTTGATGGTTTTCACTACACCTTTATTCAGGCATACTGGGAGATTCCTCGACTGAAAGATGAAGTACCTAGACTAACCACTTCAAATTGTATCTCCCCATTCAACTGCTCTTGTGGAACGAGTTATATGGGCCGTTGCTCTAGGAAATTGATTTTTCTTCCTGACTCGAGAACATCTCCCAGTATGGCTAAGTAAAGGGGTAGTAGAAACCATCAACAGTTCGATATTAGACCATCTGGTCCAAACCAGCCACAAAGTCAGCCGGCATTGAAAAATCCTTCTATATCATCCTCTACCGGGTGCCAAATAAATTGCCAAAAACATCGAAGCACCGCATGTTCCAAACAGCAGAGGCTATCGCGATTCGCGTGAAACAACCAGTGCTTTGTGTGCAGAAGAAGCAAGTCCAGCCAGCCACTACTACTGCCCTGGCCGGTTTTCAGTGGAGACTATAAATTCATGAATTTGTATTATTGTTATCTTTCCTAATTTTTCTGACATTCATTCAGTTTATTGTTATGTTGATGCTATTGAACTGTAATCTATTGATATTATTGATTTGATGTTATTTAAACAACATTAATGTTGTTCATAACACTAATTCATTCATTGACTATAATGTATATATAACTGTAGAGCCTGATGAAGGAGAGATTATCGAAAAGAGTATTCTTTGTTCAGTATCCATTCTTTTGTAAATTCTTTTTTATCAATTTTGTATGCAATTGGAGACTTTTTAATAACAAGGAATTAATAGTTTAATATTTGATTTTTGACAGATACCCGTATTTAAAATAAAAGTATTTTAATAGTTATGCTGGTCAAACGAATGATTCGTGGGGTTTTTAAGAAGTAGAGGTTTTGTGGTACTATTATTATTATTATTATTAATATATTCCTGCTCAGTAGGTAAAAAGAATCTCATCTTATCTTCTCTGTAGTTATATTCTGTGTTATGGCTTGTAAGATACGATAAGAATGTGAAAACATCTTACCTGATAAAAATTGAGATTTTTATAGTTTTGACTATTGTAAATAATTTAGTTACATATTGTATAGAACGAATTCTTTTATAAAAATAAAATGATGATTTAGTAATAAAAGTATTATGGACTGTTTTGTATGGTCCGAATTTCCCTTTCAAAGGGAACATCATCTGCCATGTTAGTGAATACAGACATGGACATCGGAGGTAGAAGTTAGAAGTATTTTCAAAGTATGGTTTGTTGAGAAACTGGTGGATAAGTAATATTACGATGAAACGTGATAACTTCATAGGACTTAAGATGAACACAGAGGAGTCATCGGTGATGAAGATACCAAATCAATAATAACAATAACCAGTTGGTATCAGTAAGAGGAATTTAAAGCTAGTCATCTCTTTCACTTATTTCGGCAGCATCTTTTCAACTAGAGGTTGCACAGATGAAAACGACAAAGCCCACCGGGATCAGGTAGGGAAAGCAAAACAGGTGTTTCTTACTCTAAGTCAGTATGAAGATCTTCAACACCTACACAGCATCAGGATTACGGGTAAAGTTAAACTTTAATCACCACTAACAACTAATCAGCGAACGACTTTCAACGAACCAATCATATGAAAGAGGCATTTTTGGTAATGAAAAACGTATATTTATGGGAAAAAAAGCATAAAAATTGCATAAAACTGTTACACGGGGTATCTTTCACTAACATGTGACAGAAACATCTCCCACTTTAGCATAGGAGTGTCAATAGAAAAGTTACACCACATTCTGTACTTAAATTCATCCCAATGACTATAAATGACATCGCTTTGAGATCCATTTATAGCCCTAATCCTGTTTTTCAATCTCCCCCAAAATCCACCTATAGGAATCGTGTGGGCCTCTGTAATTTTTGTTTTTTATTTCCTTCACGTTCCCCAGTGGAACATAGGGCTTCAAGCTAGTGGCTTGAAGTTTCTGTAGCAGTGTTTATTTTACAGGATGGGGTTGGTGGCCTCATGCCCAACCTTTCCTCTTCACCAGTATTATTTCTGGCTTAGCGAGGTAAAGGAGAGCGTCTGTGGCCAGGGATCGAACCCCGGACCACCTGCATGGTCGATGAGCGTCCTAACCACTATGCCACCGACGCACCAGGCCCCTGTAATGGGATCCACAAAATTATTAGAATGGTTGACTCTGAGGTGAATATATAGAAGGGATGACAGGGGAGTTATAACCTCTCCACTCATCGGTGTGTATTATAGATCCCTGTTTCGCAAGTCGAGTGATAATAGGTACTAAGATAGTAGACTTTCTGTCTGCCATTATCTCCACGAATCTTTTTGCAGGGAGATTTCATATAAACCGATCACCCAAACATTGTTGACTTGCTCATGACCATGGTTGTATTTTTTCTTTAATAAGACAGTTTTGTCCACGTGTGCGACGACACATTCTCTGCCTAACAACAAGGTAATTCTCTCCATTTTCCATTAGGCAATGTCTCTGCAGTGCTGGTACCACTGAACTGTTGAGACGAGGCTGTTTTCTGTTTCAGCAGCTGCGCCTCTCACAAGCTGTTTTAAAACCCAGTAATTACAAATATACAAAAACTAGGTTAGGGAGAGATGCGACCTGACAAAAAGTGTTCCTACGAAATATTAAAATCATCAGCTTACCTTCTCTAATACTAACTCGTCTCGAGCGAATTGCATAACGATGGTCATATCCATCAATCGACCTGCTGAAGCTTTTTATAATCATGACACCTCTACACGGACAAATCCTCTCTTTCTGAATGTTGAACTTGAATTACAGTGACCTGTCTCCAGTTGTTCTGAAGGATTTCAGCTTCACCTTGAAGGTTCCTTGGACTACTAGATGATGGTCTGAGCCTACATCTGCTCCCATTCTCGACTTTGCATCCAGCAGGCTGCGTCTCCACTTCCTTGAGCGACACTGAGATGAAATCTGTCTGGTTTGTGGTATGTCCGTCAGGCGAAATCCATGTCTCTGGCCTTGTGTATATCCTTGTGTTTGTACACGCTCACTCCGATCACCAAGTCGTTGAAAGAGCATAAGTCTGAGAATAATTCTCCGTTCTTATTCATTTATCCGAGCGAGAGCATCTCGACCCCTGATGAGTTCTCTTCCTGTGGTGTTGTCTGCTCCCAGTTCAGCTTGCACTCATATCGCCCATGACGATTTTGATGTCACCATTTGGGATATTGTCCATTGTTTGTAAAAATCCTCCTTCTTGTCTTGTTCCGCGTTGTTTGTAGCACTGTGCGTAGCATTGGATAATTGTGACCTTCCTTCCCTCTTTCCTTCTGAGTTGAATCTTGCTGTCATGATCCTGGATGAAATTGGTTCCTACTGCATTAGGGCTTTGACTGCCACTGGTAACATCGTGATAGCCACTCACTCCCTCAGTGTGTTCGTGGTTGTCGTCTGGATGGCCAGATTAGATTATTGACTCCCCCGTTGACAGTGTTGTCAGTCCACATCCATTCCATCCGCTCTCGCAGATACCCAATACTTCTAAGCCATATCTTCACATCTCTTTGGCTAACTGGACAGCATTTACAGTCTCGTGCATTATACAGACATTCCACGTACCCTTTCTTACTCTTGCTTTCATCGAGAGAAGACACACTGGCTGACTGGCTTCCCGAAGGCTTTCACCAGCCCGCGTCATTTCTCCTCTCCGATTTGAGCGAAGAATAAGATTGTTGTTATTTGAAGTTTTTGTATTTTTAATATATTTTCTGTGTGTTGAAGTTTCTCTAGCAGTCTGAAAGATTTAGTGATGTGGAGTTGCTAGCCCCACGCCCAACCCTCCCTCTTTGCCCAGGCTTGGGACCGGCTAGAAAACTAGCGAGCTAGTTAACTAGGCGAGGTTAAAAAACTGTTAGTATTTTAGCTATATTATAACGTAAAAATATTTTCCTTGGAGTTGTAATAGAGGGAAGCAAAATTATAGTGAGAACGTTACTCTCATCACAGTAGGCCGAGGGAATGTATATGTTGCTTTTGAATACAAAGATCCGGTTTTAGATGCTGAATAGTCAATGGTTCAGCTGTGTACAGATGGCTTGTTCGAAGTCTTATCGTACGATATTGAGGGACTCTGTTTTATCACTGTGAAGCATTCATGCTGGGATGCTCGATGTCCAGAGTTGATAAAGTGTTTGAGGATGGAGCTGCTAGTATTCTTCCTTTCTTTTCTCTTCTTCTTCTCTTTTTCCCATGTAGGTGAAGACTTTACTCCTAATTTGGGAACTACACTGTCTGCGTTAACCAGTGAACAAGAAGATTTTGAAAGAGCACGTCAACTTCGACAACTTGGTTCTCGTTTCTTTGCTTCATTGAATCCAAATGCATCATATCACAAAGGATCACATCCACCAGTAGTAGTTATTATAGATGGTATGGAGTGCCTTGAAGATCCGTTAGCCAAAACACCTGAAGGAGTAAGAGAAATAGTGATATAATCTTTCTTGTTTTTTAAACAATCTTTGGGATTGTTTTGCTGAGGATATCTAATAAAAATTCTTTCCTTTACAAAGTTTACTTCCACATGTTGAAGTTTCATTTCATTATTATAAGTACAAAGCATGTTACTGTTTAATTTACTTGTAAAATATTTTCTACAGACAGTTAACTGCTACGTGGAACTACAGCGAGGTACATAGGTTGAGAACAAAGTTATGGGATTCGTGGGGATTTGGATTAATCTGATTTGAGTTGCTGGATTCGGTCATGAACCGACATCAATTAGCGATCATTGAAAAACAAGTAGCACACTGGACAGCTGTTTCTTCCTACGCTGGGACTCTTCATCAGTGAACACACCCCACCCCACTGGAGATCCAACCCAGGATCTTCAAGTTATGACACCGAGCTCATTAACTACTAAGCTATTTGATTCGAAGTTCAGTGACTCGTGAATTCTGACTTTTCCAGTTCATGGTACAGAGATCGATGAGTCCTCCCTATGTATGTGTATCCATCATAGCAGCTTGATAACTAAACAAAGACTGAACGCTGCTGTTTAAAAGACTTTTTTATGCAGTTAATATCATAATAATTGAAAATGTGAAGCCAATATACCTATCTAAGCCCTTTGAACATACCGAAAATGATGTCACATCCCACTGTATTTACCAATTTGAATGTAAGTGTGGAGACATATACATAGGGAGGACTCATCGATCTCTGCAAGTAAGGGCTGGCTTCAGAGCATATTCCTAAATGGTTCCAGAAACAAACAGAATCTTCAGAACCCATTAATGGTGAGAACAGGAGACCTAGCTCCTCTATTGCGAAACATATTATAGAGACAGGACATAAAATTGACGTTAACACATCTTTTAAACCTATCTATAAGACGTGTTTGGGGCGTATCCTAGAGTCTGTTGAAGCCCTAGCTGGCAATTAGAAAGTTTAAACCACCTTTATGCGTTCAAAGCAACAATTCGTCATCACACTAAACCTTCCTTGGTAAACTTTGTTTTGATACCAGCCAGGGTAGATGTACTATGACCTCTGTTATTTGGCTTAGTGATCTTTATTGTTATTTTGACCTTGAATATGTCCTTTTAACTTGACCTAATGTCTATTTTCTCACCTCTTAACTCTTTGTTAATTTCATATATGTATTCCTATGACAAGTCCGTGTGTGATCAGATTGTTCGAAGTGTGTTGCGCAAATACACACTACACGATTCATACAAATTACGGTCTTCTTATTGCTTTGTCTAAAATCATAAAGAGGACTAAATGTTTTAAATGGTTATAGTTCATAGGTCATTGAATTCTGAGCCAAGTATATTAAATGGTCAACGAGCTTGGTACCATAACGTGAGAGTCCTGGGTTCGGTCTCATGCGGTGGTGGGTAAGCACTAGTGAAGAGTCCGGAGACAGGAAGAAACAGCTGTTCAATGGTTATGTTATGTTGGTTTTCAATGATCTCTCTAACTGATATCAGTCCGTGACGAAAATCTAACAATTGAAATCTTAATCTTTTCTCTTCAGTAATTATTACTTTTGGTATAATGAATCTTCGATGAAGACATAAATTTTGAGTATGTACAGCAGACAACTGTACATCTAGCACCTTGAAATGCTCATGAACAATAAATTATGCTCACAACGTAAATCATTTAATGATATTTTGCTTCCTTGTTTGATACTTCAAATAGACTTATCTTATATGCAATTATGTTCTACCGTAGTGCCTAGGTTTTACTCTGTAAAATAATGAACTGACTTTGTAAAACATATCCGTTAAGTTAGAATTCACTGATAATTAAGCGGTGGATCGGCTTGCCTTGTAATCTGAAAGTCCTCGATATGCGTCACTGAGAAGTCTCAAAGTAGTACAGTGATTTTTCTTCATATGTCTGTTTGTGACAAAATATGCATTAAAGTTAATAAAAAATCCCTAAAAAACACAAGATTTGAATATCCATTATAGTCAGAAAGTGCATAACAAAAGCATCTATGAGGTTTAATTATTGGTATGTAGGGATTTGATTGATTAGTTGCAGGATTTCATCATGAGCTAGCATCAGTTAGAGAACTACTGGAAAACCTGGGAGTAGTGGACAGCTGTTTCGTCACACTAGTTTGGGACTCCTCATCAGTACGAACCCACACTGAGGGGTTCAAAGCCAAGACATTCTGGTTACAAGGCGACCTCGTAGACCATTAAGACACTGGGACCCGAACCAATGGCCAGTACATGAATTCTAACTTTTGCCAATTCACGACATAGCGTGACCGCTATCCAACGTCTTCAAAGAGTATTTGTCCTCATACCCGACCTGCTGCACCCTGCTGGTCACGACTTCCCACTAGAACCCCAGGTAACTACTTACCTGAATAGGGCCAGCCGCCAGTGAGCATGTCATCGATATTCAAGTATTGGTTTGTAGGGATTTGATTGATTGGCTACAGGATTTCATCATGAGCTGATATAGCCGTCGCGCTATGTCATGAATTGGAAGAAGTTAGAATTCATGGACTGGTCATTGGATCGGGTCCCAGTGGCTTAATGGTCTACGAGCTCACCTTGTAACCAGAATGTCCTGGCTTCGAATCCCGCAGTGTGGGTGTGTACTGATGAAGAGTCCCAAGCTGGTGTGGCGAAACAGCTGTCCAGTACTCCCAAGTTCTCCAGTGCTTCCCTTACCAATGTCAGCTCACGATGAAATCCTGTAAACATCTATGAGGTTGTTTGTAGCACTGAAAAACTTTATACAGCTGAAAGTATTTTGTTATAAAATTTAAGATTTACAGAATTATTCATCAATGAGACTAACAGTGGTTTCGTTGTGAGACAATACATTACTATGGGATATTGACAGAAACATTTGGAAAAGACCGATTTTAGAAATACTATCAAAAAGAGCATAACTGTTGTTATTATTACCAAAATGAAATATGAATAAATTGATGTGTATAATTATTTAGAGTCTAGTGAAGTAATAATTAACTTGACTGATAGAATCCAGTCGGCATCGAACAAAGGACTAGACTCATGACAACAATTAGTACTTAATTTACAGTCAAAGTATCCAATGCAGTCCTACAGGAAGTTAGATGTGAGCTTGATGAGCTCAGTAGTAACGTCCGTGTCTGCAACACTGGGTGACACGGGTTTGAACCCCAGAAGGGAAATGAGTCCCTTCAGGATTGCAGGTACACCATGCTGACTGGTAAGTACCAACAAGCATGAAATCTAGGTTCAGGGTTTCCTGCCGATCACCTCCAGGCATCTAACATCAAATATCTATATATCGAACTTTCAAAGAAAGGATTTTATTTCAAGATTTAGTTTGTAAGTCTGATCATGGTTTGATATCGGTTAGGGAACTTTTGAAAACCAAAGAATATGGGATAGCTGTTTCGTCCTAGTTTGAGACTCTTCGGCAGTACGCACTCATATAGGGTCAAACCCGATACCTGAAATCACTGAAATCACAAATTGGTAGGAGTTGGAATGCACGGACACTTCGGTCGGGTCACAGTGGCTGAATGATCTATAAATTCGCCTGTGAACCCCTGTTTAGCGCATACTCTTGAAGAGTCCCAAACTGGGACAAAACAGGTGTCCAGTACTCCCTGGTTTCCAAGGGTTTTGTAACTGATATCAATCCATGATCAAACTTCGTTTCACTTATTAAAATTTTGAGTAACTCTCTATCGCTTTGTCTATTCTGACTTTGAGTTTACTTAATCATACTTATGTTCATCCTTTTTTGTTCTTTTCATTAACATAGGTTAAATGTGTTGACTGGTTATTCAGTTGTCATGAAAAGAATGCAGAAATTAATCTATCTGACTACGGAGTAATAAAAGGCAGTGGACTGCCTATTGTTCCCAGTCGAACTCGTTTCATTCTTACCTGTTCTTCATCACACTATATAAGTCATCAGTTAACTAAATGTCCACTTATCACTACTATAGAATATCCAGCGAATTTAAAGCATAAAGAAGCATTATTACATGCTAAGCCAGAACCAACGCCAATTGGAAGTCTTGAAGAGGCTTCAGAAACTTCGAAAGAAGAAACAGAAAAAGAAAACGCTTACCAGTCAACAAGCTTAATTTCATTATTTCCTAATCTATTGAATAATAGTGTATATAATAATTATGGAGATGCAATGAAAGTCAGGAATCAAAAGAAATCGATCTCACCAATTTCTAACAATACAGAAATGATAAAAACACGTTTAATGAATCCTATTCTTATGAAATTATATGAAAATTGGTGTCTAAGACATAATGCTCTTGCACGGGTAAAAACAAAACTGTAGTGATTTTATTTTATAGAATTTCAATTTATACATTTATTCACCGTTATGAATTTGAATAAAGCAAGAACAAGTGGTGTGTGAAGAATAATATGGTACCATCATTGTTTATTGCGTTGGCTTCTCATCAGCTGTCGCTTACAGCCTAAATGAATTACTACTAAGTCCATGTAAAGAAATGTTTCAACATTCTTGCAGATTTTACATGATGTCGGTTGACAGGAGGTTATGGACTAAGTGAACAGTGCTCAGAAAATTACGCTTATATAGTTTTTACACAGGGAGTTCAAGTTTAAACAAAGTAAATGTATGCATTCAATGGTAAGGGAGTTACGTAATAAAGACGAGAGATTAGTAAGATGATGAGTAACTAATAAGTTGCGTAACGACGTACTGAGTTCAACTCAAATCATAGAAACAAGAGACGAGCGAAATTACACATTATCAAAGTGATGATGTTAAGGACAAAGCCTACGTCTCAAGGGAACAAACGCTTACAATGGTGCCATTACCAGGTATCTCCTTGATACGAGTCACGAATTGGAAATCTCAAAATTCTTTAAAATTATCACTAGGCAAAGAAGCTCAATTCTCCTCAAGTTTATCGAAGTAGCCTCTATCAAACGTCTGAAACCTAATTTATGTTTTCTGAAAGACGTAGTTATCAATCTTTCCTTGCCAACCTGGTGACTGGATGTCTTTATTCTCTCCTTCATTTGATTACGTAGTCATTAGCTTTAACCTCACTCCTCCCCTTTGATATAGTGTAATTTCGCTTGTCTCTTGTTTCTATGATTTGAGTTGAACTCAGTACATTGTTACCCAACTTATTAGTTACTCATCATCTTACTCATCTCTCGTCTTTATTACGAAACTCCCTTACCATTGAATGCATACATTTACTTTGTTTAAACTTGAACTCCCTGTGTAAAAACTATATAAGCGTAATTTTCTGAGCACTGTTCACTTAGTCCATAACCTCCTGTCAACCAATATCATGTAAAATCTGCAAGAATGTTGAAGCATTTCTTTACATGGACTTAATAGTAATTCATTTAGGCTGTAAGCGACAGCTGATGAGAAGCCAACGCAATAAACAATGATGTTACCATATTATTCTGCATAAACAAATGCAATTTAAATTAATGTCAGTAAAAAGTTTGTGCATTGTGGAATAGATCAAATAAAGTATAATTATATTTGCGGTTAACTGGTGGATGGTAACTAACAGTGGAATCCAGGATGTGCATTTCGTTCTATTTGGGACTCGTCATCTGGGATTTAATGTCAGTCATTTTTGTGTTTAAAACTATCTTTTTCACTTCTTTGCATTCCAAGTGGAACATAGGGCTTCAAGCTTGAGCTCTGAAGTTCCAGTAGCAGTGGTTTTATCCTTTATATCATGTTCAAATAGATGAGGGGAGAGGAAGTATGAGAGATTAACATTAAGATAAAATGCATTACGCTTCAATTGCATCACTTAGATAAACAATTAGTCATTAGAGAATATATCAAGAATTGCGAAGTGAGTAATATTAATAGTAATAGTTATAAACCAGGTCTCTGTGTACAAAGGGAAATGGTCGTCACTCTGAATCTACCATGGTAATAAGTTTTACTTATTATTATTATTCTTGTTTCATTTAAAACTATCCTTTATCAGTAGCATTATCTTAACTCACTTTAGCATTATTATTATTATAACTATTACTATTGATGTTACTCTGTTTACAGTTCTTGCTTGATATGTTCTCTAATGACTAATTGTTTATCTAAGTGATGTAATTGAAGCGTAATGCATTTTATCTTAATTTTAAAATCTCTCGCACTCCCTCTCCCCTTATCTATTTGAACATGACCTGGAAAACATTCGCACCTGTCTTTCTGCATGACTAATTCAATGTAGTTTGTTTACTTATCAGTCTTATATCTCCCAATGTAATTTCAAAAGTATGTACATATATATATATGTGTATACAGAGTATTCAGCTGGGGAAGAGTTCAGTCGAAATTTGATGAATTCATTAAATCCTACTTTATTAACCTTTGTTGCCTGTTAATGTATGTGTAAAACTTGGGCACTGTGGCAGTAAGTAATTCCATATTACTTTGTTTATTAGATGTATCACACAGTCAGTGAAACAGTATTATTTACTGGATGACAAGGTTTCGAACAAAATCTATTGCTGTTCATAATCATATCAATTTTCATCACGCGACTTTCACACTTCAACTCAAAATTCTAAGTCGTGTGATTACAATTGATATGATTATGAACAGCAATAAATTTTGTTCGAAACCTTGTCATCCAGTAAATAATACTGTTTCACTGACTGTGTGATACATCTAATAAACAAACTAATATGGAATTACTTTGTTGCTTGTTTTAAAATTTATCTAAGTGATATCAATCCCTGATTGAAGCTGATACACTTTAAAATAAATTCTACTGTCTTTATTATCGATAATAAATATACAAACTCTTATATTATTTTATATCTTTTTTAGAATTTATTTATTCATGAACTACAAGCAATTCTATACGATGCTAATTCATCGTCTAGTCCAAAGGAAATGTCAAATACTGACGATTATATTGAACGTTTATTAGCCACTCAATCAGTTAGACAATTAATCTTATGCCTATTGCATAGATGGTCAATTGAATTTGAATGTTATATAATAAATGTAGAAGAAGACATGCAATTGTCATCCGCATCTTCGCCATCTTCATCGTCGTTATCAGTGACCGTATTAGGCTCAAATATAAAAGGTGATATTTCTCATAATAGTAATAATAATGATGAACAGGAGGACAAGAAGTCGAGTGAAGCACAGAATATCGACTTTAAGTCTTTAACACGAAAAGCTATAACACAACTATCCAAAGGTAAGTATACATTCATATTTATAAATATAAAGTGTGGAATTTGTGAATTTTAACTAATTATAGGTATTAATAAAAATATAAATTCGAAATATATTTGTGGATGACAGTATATACATATCAGTGTAGAGTCTAACGCAGTGGTATCTGACTTCAGACCGGCATATTTAAATACAACACACGACAAAGTAAGCAGAAGTAGAGATTCTATCATACTACACTTATACTATTACTACTTTTTACAAGTTGATCACGGATTGATATCAGTTAGAGAAACATTGAAAACCAGCTGTTTCATCCTAGTTTAGGAATCATTGGCAGTACGCACACACTGCCAGGGTTCGAACCCAGGACCTTTCGGCTACAAGGCAAGCTAGCTCGTATACCATTCAGCTACTGGGACCCGACTCAATGGCCAGTGCATGAATTCTAACTTCTACCAATTCATGATTTAGCGTGACCCCATCCAACGTCGTCGTGGGGACATCCATCCTTACACGTGACTGGATGAACCTCACTGGTCACAACTTCTCACTAGAACTCTAGGAAACTCAGTCCTGTAGCAAGTCACTAGCGAGCATCAGATTAATTTTCACGAATTGGTTTGTAAGTATGAGGTTTGTTTTCAAGTGTTACCTCGGAATGATATCAGCGATACGCATCTACGCAGTTGCCTGGATTTCTAGTGAGAAGTTGTGACCAGTGAGCTTCATCCAGTCACGTGTGAGGATGGATTTTCCACCGATGACGTTGGTTGGGGTTGCGCTAAATCATGAATTGGTAGAAGTTAGAATTCATGAGCCATTAAATCCGGTCCCAGTAGCTGAATGGTGTACGAGCTTGCCTTGTAACCAGAAGGTACTGGGTTCGAACCTCGGTGGTGGGTGCGTACTGCCACTGATTCCGAAACTAGGATGAAACAGCTGTCCAGTACTCCTCGCTGGTTTTCAATGGTTCTCTAACTGATATCAATCCGTGATCAACTCGTAAAAACATAACAAACCCTTACAAACCAACTATAGAAAAAACTATTACTACTACCAACTTAAGCCACCATTTCCATTGGCATGGCACACAGCTATCTATCCCTTGGTGTGTCTATTATGTAGCGTTTTGTCCCCTCCTACTTTACTGCTGTGATTAATAATCGCTGAATGTGGAAGATATTAAATGATTGTCTATTTCTTATTCAAGGTGTTTGTGCCAGTTGCACAAGCTTAGCTAAAATAGGCCTAGGTTTAAAAGGCTTTAAGGGTGATTAGACCAAAACAGCACCAATCAGTGGAGATTTTGACTACTGGTTTAAGAAATATAAGGAAGTGTAAACTGCATGACTGCTGTCCCCAAGATGGAGGGTATTGGTGCCATCACTCACAATCATTTTCAGTGATGCAGATAGATTCATTCCTTATTGTCATTCATTTTCGTAGAATCTTGATAAATCCTTATTTAGCCATCTTTTCTCTCATACATTTTCGTCTATTTCAATTTTATTATATCTCCCTCATCTGTTTTAATGACTGCTTTTCTGAAAGATTGCAATTTGGACTGGTGCACTTAGGTGTAATATTCTGTGTTGATGAAACAGTCAGTCGTCATTATTATTATTGTTCCCTTGGGTTCCTGGTGGAACATAGGGCTTCAACTGCACGTCTCCACTTGCTTCTGTCTTCTGCTGTGCTTTTCACTTGCATCCATGCTAGTCCATACTGTTTCAACTCCTTTTCACACGATCTCCTCCATGTCACCCTTGGACGTCCCACTCGTCGCTTCCCTTTCGGGTTCCACTCGAGCTTTGGCCTGACGCGCCATGTCACCCAGCGGCTTCCTCAGCGAGTGAGTGTCCAATCCATCTCCACTTTCTTCTGCATATTTGTTGAGCGATTGGTTCTTGTTTGTTTTGTTTGTTCTCATAGTTTTTTGTTGGTGATTCTTTCCGGCCATCTGATCTTGAGTATAGAGCGAAGACAGATGTTGATAAAGGTCTGCAACAGGCTGTTGGAAATATTCTTTGTGACCTGCCACGTTTCTGATCCGTACAGAAGAACTTCCAATCGTCATAGGTTATTTTAACAAAGGTATTCTAACTATGAAGAAAATAAAAGACAGATTCAGCGAAGAAAATTTTCTTTATCGACGAAATCATCTTCAGAGGCTGTACAATCGTATTTATACTTACAAAAACATATAGTGGTCTATTATTGAGTAATAGGGGGTGACATAATTGACATAATTACTCAGAAGTGGCTTTAGAAGTGAAAACTAAAAGTTGAAAATTACGCGGCACTCAACGGAAAAAAGATAGAAATTTGACAAGGTTAAAATTGCTACTAAGTGAGAATAAAGGTATTTGAGTGTCAATTTAACAAGTGTGAAGAGGGTGTGAAAATATACAAAAGGAGCATATGAGAGTGATAATAGTGAATTAATTATTAAAGCAAAGGCTAACTAAAAGTGAAATTAGAATGAAAAGAAAAAATCAAGATATATTTTATTTACAAGGAACGATTAGTGAAGAGGTTAAGACCAAGGTAGAATAAGAGACTGAACAAACTTTTTCTGTATACAGAGTTCAGGGTTGTATTGATGAATTGCTAGAGCCTCCGCCATACACAAAAGCCGAAACCTGACGCCCTTTGTACCATTTGGCTTCACTTTGTAGATGATCTTGAAAGACGATTCTGGTGGAGCTACGTGGCCTGAGTTCACCAAATGCTCGTGTGAAGCTAGTTATATTGGCCGCACAAAGCGCACGCTTTCCAAACGCATCTGTAAGCATTATGCGGCATGGTTAGCAAAGGGACAATGTAAGACAATCACTAGCTCAATTCTTGAGCATTTGGTGAACTCAGGCCACGTAGCTCCACCAGAATCGTCTTTCAAGATCATCTACAAAGTGAAGCCAAATGGTACAAAGGGCGTCAGGTTTCGGCTTTTGTGTATGGCGGAGGCTCTAGCAATTCATCAATACAACCCTGAACTCTGTATACAGAAAAAGTTTGTTCAGTCTCTTATTCTACCTTGGTCTTAACCTCTTCACTAATCGTTCCTTGTAAATAAAATATATCTTGATTTTTTCTTTTCATTCTAATTTCACTTTTAGTTAGCCTTTGCTTTAATAATTAATTCACTATTATCACTCTCATATGCTCCTTTTGTATATTTTCACACCCTCTTCACACTTGTTAAATTGACACTCAAATACCTTTATTCTCACTTAGTAGCAATTTTAACCTTGTCAAATTTCTATCTTTTTTCCGTTGAGTGCCGCGTAATTTTCAACTTTTAGTTTTCACTTCTAAAGCCACTTCTGAGTAATTATGTCAATTATGTCACCCCCTATTACTCAATAATAGACCACTATATGTTTTTGTAAGTATAAATACGATTGTACAGCCTCTGAAGATGATTTCGTCGATAAAGAAAATTTTCTTCGCTGAATCTGTCTTTTTTTTTCTTCATGACTCAATGGGTATTCTAACTACCTTATGTGGCGGAATACTATGCATTTTTGAAGCGAATTTACCAAATAGAAATGTTTCATGCGATGAAGGTGTTTCTTCATCAGACAATCATTTCATGCCTTGAATATGATGGTTACACTATACACTATTTCACCGGTAGTTTTTTTGCAGTTAGTTTGTTATTTTTATTGTACCTTTTGGTGTTCTTTAACTCACAACACACTTAAAATGTTTATAAGCCGAAACTGTGGTGCTCATAACCACTCTGAGGAAAATAATGTGAAGCTTACTGTATTAGATGTCAAGTTCATTTCTCCTTAATTGTGCAGTGCTTACTATTTTATTTCAAGAATTGTATCTTTTGTCATTTTATTCAACAAATTCCTCCTTGAAGTAAATTCCCTGTTTAAAACGATGACTTTTATAAAAATACACAAAGTCCCACAGTAGTTTTTATCAGAAGTGACATCAGATGAAGAACTACTGGAGACCAAAATGCTCCGAATAACTACCAAATCCTGACATCTCTCTCCCTCATTCCTCGGCATTCAGAGTGTATTACAGAGCTGTAACTTTGAGCTTTGGTTGGTTGAGTCAAATTTCAGGTTTTAATTGATAACCTCACATCTAACCTATCCTCTTTACCAGGCACACAACTGACGAGGAAGAGTTTAGAGATGCGTCGACCGGGACTCAAACCTAGACGACATTTGCGGTTGGTGACCATTCTATCATTGAACCGCTGGCTCACTCCTCCTGACACAGAAATTAAAACATTCTTGCACATTTTTTTTATTCCTTCACGTTCCCTGTGGAACATTGGGATTCAAGATACAGGCTTGAAGTTTCAGTAGCAGTGGTGTTTATTTTTACGAGATTGGGTTGCTAGCCTCATGCCCAACCTTCCCTCTTTACCAGTCTTATTACTGGCTTAGCGAGGTTTGAGAGTGCGTCGGCCGGACCACACGAGCATTCTACCTCTGTGCCAGCGACGTACACTTTGCACATTATACTTGCGAAATTATTCTACCACGAACTGTCAAAATACATTTTCCACAAAATATTTTTTCATCGCTAACATTACTTCAAATTCAGAGCTTACGAACGAATTCCTTACAGTTCTAGGAAAGAAAATGTTACCTCTAATTAATCTCCACTTAAAACTGGATACTACTTTTAAATTGTTCAATAGTATAAGTTGTATTTCTTATTTTTCCAAAAGTCAACATTACCTTAGCAAACTAATCATCCTGACGTTAATTGCATCACTTATCAGCTTCCATCTTCTAACATAAGAAAATTTGCATATCAAGTATTCATTTGCTCACAGATAAGTCTTTTCATGAAATGTGCTACATGTGTTCTATATTCCTTAAATTTCACCAGTGGATATTTCAGGCACAAATTTCTATTCATTATGACTGGCAGCAGATAAAATATCTTGCTTGAAATCATTTATTGTTCAACAGTACTATTTTGAAATACTGAAGAAGATATGTAGCTAAGGTAGATGATTTTGGTGTGATTCTCGTTGGATAAAATTATATCATTCATGAAGAGACAACATCAAATTCAGTTTGCTCTGAGGATATTGAATTTGTATGCGCAACGAAAGCCTCCAAATTAAATCAGTTAGCTGAGAGAACACAACCACACAAAAAGCAGTGAAATCTGTGCATTGGCTTTTGATGCGTATTTTCACTCAGAATGTATGATGAGGTGTTCAAAATAATCAAGAGACGGAAGAAACCTAGCTTGCTACGTTTTGTTGAAGCAATCGCTAACAAACGATGAAGATCAAATCTATGTGCGCAGAAATAGATAGTGGTGGCTTTTGCTTTATCTTGGTGATTGCACCTACATAACAAAGTATGAAATTTTTACTAAGTCATGTATTATCCCAAATCTTCTGTCCTGTTTAGAAAGTTTTATTGTTTCATCCGAACGTTACTCACCCTACTCCTTTTCGTTATTCTATGAAAACAAATTCTCTGTAGTTACTTAGCATATTATATTGTTATACTCTTTATATTGTGGAAAATACCCGTCGGGATATCAGAGGGACGAGAACAAGAAGTTCAGCGAGGTTATCTTTTCGGTGATTTCATTCTCAAAAGCACCTGTACAATCGCATTTACATACATTAGTTTACACGGATACAATTATTATTCATTTAATTCCACATAGTAACGAAGGTGATAATAATTTTCAACTTGATATGAATTACAAAAGGCTTAGAGACAAAAGTTACGCAGGAATAGAACGATTTACAGGTGTGAACTAAATGAGCATGGAAACAAATTGAAATCAAAATTGTCAACTTGAAATGTAAGTTAGGAGGTGTGAATATAGATTACAAGAGGCATAGAAACAAAAATTACACAGGATTAGAATATAATTTTAAAGTGGTTATTCTAACAGGGGATTACAAGTGTGATCAGAAGGAGCATGGGAACAAACTTAAAATCACTGATTTTATAACCGAAAGAAAATGGGATAAATGGAATGAAGACCAGGAGAGAAAAATACATACAGAGAACAAAACGAAAAGGTGAAGGATAAGGAAACATACCGAACTAGGTCCGCAGTAGTTGTAAAAGCTGGACTAGTTTCTTTTGAACACGCAACCCCGGCTTTTCGCTGCATATGGCAAGAGCTTCCGCAGCACAAAGAAGTCGGAAACACACTGCCTTTGGTAGATTTTTTAACTTTGTAAATGACCCTGAATGATGAGTCAGTTCAGATGCTGTGATAGGTATTGATGAGGTGTTCAGTTATGGCCCTTCTGATTGGACCAGGATCTCCTATTCGCAGTTATGCTGGATGATGTTCTCTAACACGTTTTGATAAGACCCGCATAGAACGACCTATGTACCTAGTTCTGCGTGAGCCGGTGAAATGATATATGTACACTGAAGTGGTCATATACGGGAGTCTGTCTTTCCCATTGCTCCGAAGTATTAAGCGGTTAGAGAATATCACTCTTAGAGTTGAAACTTAGTTGAAACTTTGAAGTTGAAAATTATTATCACCTTCGTTACTATGTGGAATTAAATGAATAATAATTGTATCCGTGTAAACTAATGTATATAAATGCGATTGTACAGATTTTGAAAATGAAATCGCCAAAAAGATATCTTTGTTGATCTTCTTATACTCTTTATAATTGAACTTTGTTACTACCTAAAGAAGATTCTCAACTCTGTTTTTTTCAGGAGATACTTTTTATTTTTAATTCTTTGAGTTCCGATTGGAAAATAGGGCTTCAAGACTGAGCTTTGAAATTTCAGTATCAGTGCTGGTTATTTTTTACTGGGTAGGGTTACTACCTTGACTTTAAACCTATCCTATTTGCCGGCTAGGCAAGGTTGGGCAGTGTATCGACCGGGGATCGAAACTGAGACCATGTGGCTTGTTGACGAGTATTCTACCACTGGAAGACTGACGCAAATATTCTCAAGAGTATAAGAATAAAGTAGAGTATAATACCATTATGGGTAGAATTTATTTTGATAAAGTCTCACAGTGTTATACAGGAATATCTACTGATGAGACCACGTTTCGAGCACAATTTATTACTGCTCATAATCATATCAAGACACTACTCACAAAACCTTCTAACTTCGTTTATATAATTCCATTATTTTCCATCGCTTGATTTGATTCGTATTAGCAGTATTTCAGGTATGAGTGATGAGTCACTCCTATTGCACGTGTTGGATGTGGACTCGATAAACAAGGATTCAGTAATCAATCTCTCTCTCCACCGACTTATGTTACTTCTTAGAATTTTAACCCTCTCCCACTACCCTATTGTGTGGTTGTGTGTTAATGCATGCAGTGCAATCGCTGAGCTTTTTTCTAAATTACTTATCTTCTCGGGTGAGGTCAACCATTCTTACCTTAGCTAAATTCTTATGTTCTGACAGGCAATGTGACTACCCGTGACCTACTAGTTTGACCTATGTAGTTGACTTAACTCACAGTCATTGCAGGGTATTTTGTAAATTATATTATTTTGCTATTATTGAGTTCATCATGTCTTTTAGCCTACAGAGCTTGTTTTTGAGTGAGTTCGCAGGTTTGAATGCCACTCTAATTCCTACTATATTCAGAATCCTACGTAGGGTTTCAGACGTCCCCTCCTTATAAGGTATAACAGTAGATGTTTTATGTTCTCTCTTATTTATGTTATTACTATTAGTTTCACCATCATTTTTGTTTTGCTTTTTGACCTTTTCTGATCTTCCTAATGAATTTTATAAGATAGTTATTTAACACCAACCAGCTATTCTTTTGTGTGTTTCATTTCATCGTTTAGGTTTTTTATGTACTACTTAGTGCTACTGCTCGGTTTGCTAGACATCTAACTAAGTCAGCCTTTACAGACAGATAACGGATGAGATGAATTAAAGTCTAAATATCTATTAACAGAATGCGTTGGCTGTATAAACGCTAATGCACATACAGTTTACCTTCTTTTGTTCGTTTTATTTTACAATCTAGCATAGCTAATCCTCCTTGTTCACTTTCGGATTGAAATATAAAATTTATTCCCTCTACTAGTGACTCTGTATGTGTCAAGAAGCTAGAGATATGTTCTGTTTTTAACACTGTGAAACTTTCATCCATATATCTCCGCCATATTTTTGGAATGGGATTAAATGTATTTATTTTTACCGAAAAACCATCTTATTTCCCATCTGACTGTATTTGATTGATAACATTAATATTATTTCTGATTGCACATTATCTTAAACTGATTTTATTCAAATGTCTAATCAGCTTTTCACACATGTATATAAATGAAGTAAAAAGTTGTGTGAGTGAGTGACTTGATATGATTATGAGTGGCAATAGTTTGTGCTCGAAACATGGTCGCATCAGTTAATACATACTGTATAACACTATTGTGTGATTTATCAAAATAAAATCTTATTTATAGTGGAGTGTATATCATTCTTTTAACGTTTGCATATCACCTATTCACTCAGTCCTTATTATTTTCTACCCTTTTTGCTTAATCTCTAATTTTATTGCCTTTCTTTGTGGTTGTCTGATGGTGTTCATAATGCGTAGTTTTACGATTGTGATTTTTGGTTTGAATGAAGTCAAGGTTTTCTGTGTGGATTTCGACTTTGGTCTGTTAGAAGTGTTAGGTGTATGATTCTTGCTGCCAAGTTTTAATACCACTTTTTTCTGGAAATATTCTACTTGATTGTCAGGTACATCTTACAGTTGATTTTGGTTAAATAATAATTTTGTTGTATAGTACTTGTTTTGTACCTTCGAAATTATTGGACCTGTGTAGCTACCTAACGGCATTTGATATATTAAGAATGTTGAATAGTACTACATATTTCGTCGTAGATAACTGTCTTTTTACTGTCGTTAGGGGGCATTTAGGGAGTGTGCATTGGTCATGAAAGTTTCATTTAGCTATACAGTAGAAAGTAAAAAAATGACTTCCTGCATTTCGACCGGAAAACGTCAGTTTTGGTTGCTACAGAGTCATATAAAGGAATAAACTTATACTCATTTCTTCAGTTTCTAAATTATCATTTTTATGTAGATCCATTGGATTGAAATTCTGCATGTCACAGTAATTAAAATTATTGTTGTCACTGTCAATCTTTATTGTGCAAATCTTTTTAGATTGGACTATTGGTTGGGTTGGAATTGTATTCCATACAATATTAGCTGCTTCTAAATTTACCTGGTCTAAAGAAGATATGTATTCCCATGAAGATGAATCGTATGGTTTCAAATTTCAAGATATTTTATATATTCTAAATCATATCAATTTATCAGAGACATGGGTCAATCAGTGTCTCCTGCCATCGACAGTATTAGCTTTACAATCACCTCTGCTAGGCTTTTATTGTTTACGTCTTTTTCATCGTGCTGGTGTATTTTCATCGAAAACAGGAGGTGCAATCTTGCGTTCAACTAATCTTCATGGCTATCTGAAATTTAATCATGATATAATACAATCGGTGATGCGACAAATACTTGCACGTAAGTCACTGTTTTCAAGGAACTGTGAACATGGTGTTCCAGTGCTGCAATTATTTTCTTGACGTAATAGGTGACTGTGTTGAAAGTGAGGTTAAAAACTGCGTCAAGTGAAGATCCGAAACAATGGCATTTGGATTACTTACCTGCTTCGATTCCAGTTTTTCTTTTATTTCATGATAAGTTATTACCAATTACACTATATTTAGGCTGTCAATTTGGTTATATGATGGAGAAGATTTGTAGCTCAGGAGGATGATTTTGATGTGGTTGTGTTCTCTGAGCTGGATAGTTCATTTGTGAAGCTTTCATTGCCCCGACACAAGGCAACATCTTCAGTGTATACTTCAATTTCAAGTGAGCCTTTAGATTTCTCCACGAGTTTTTCAGTCAACTCTCCTGGAATTTTTGGAAGCCTGGTATTGCAGTGAATCGTCAGTCAATAGATACATTGACATAGACAAAATTTACCAACCGATAGGAAGGACATCTCACTCACAAAGGGTCAAAGTTCAAGTCAAGGAAACAGTCAGTTCCAATACAAGTAGCATAGAGTGCTTGGAAACACACAAAAACAACCAATCACGTCGAAGGTCAGCAGGAGAGATGACTAATAAACTCGTGGAGAAATCTAAAAGCTCACTTCAACAAATTGAAGTATGCGCTGAAGATTTTGCCTAGTAGGGGGCAATGAAAGCTTCGCAAATTAACTATCCAGCTCAGAGAACACAACCACATCAAAAATTTGGTTATATTCCAGATAGCATGATTGACTAGAATTTGATGGCTATCAGTGAAATCAACGATATCCATTTCTTTCCACTGATGAATTGTCGACTGGATGTACGTGTTTTTTCAGTAATTGACGGTGTTCCTACTGAGATACGAACCCACCACCCGTTCTTTCAGATGCCAAACACTCTCCACTCAGACAGAGATCGAAATGCTAGTGACCATTGTTGAAGTGTCCTTTGTGGGACCCCAGATATCGGTAGAGACCGAGTATTTCGGTCTAATATGAAGTGATCAACGGGGAATGAGAAACAACTTGAAAAACAAATTTTTGTTTGTTTACATTTGCATTTTTTGATGGAATCGCTAAATATTCAGTGATCTAACTTTGTTATCGGCAGTTAACACTAATATGAGACCGTGTTAAGTGATATAAGTGATCTGACAGACACAGATTGATTAAAGCATTCTCACACTGTTGAGTAATGCTCAGTGTAATAGTTATTGCCACTTTTCAATATAAATATTCAGTTGGCTTGATCAGTAGGCAAAGGCCTATGATGAATAGTTTTAAGGTATCGTGACCAGTGGAGTACAGTAGAAAAGATGTTAAAACAACTACTCAGCGAGGTTGCGCTAAATGTATCACAAACTGGTAGAAATTGGAATACATGGGCTAGCCACTGAGTCGGATCCGAGTGGCGAGCTTGCCCGGTAACCAGTAGGTCCTAGATTCGAACCCCGCCGGGTGCACGCTGATGTAGAGTCCCAAACTAGGACGAAACGGCCGTCGTTCAGTGCTCTAATAGGTTCTCTAATTGATTTCAGTTCATGATAAAATCCTGTAATCAATACTTGCAAAGGCTGATGACAAGAAGGTAGAAATATGTATATTATGGAGAAAGGCATTAAGTGATATCAAAAATTACTCCGTTAATATTACATATATCATAAGAAGAAAGACAACTAACATGATGTTTAAGGGATTAGATCCGAAGTGGATGAATTACAAAATTTTTAAAGATTATTAAATAGGTGGACTGGTGTTTAGAATTAAAATGTAGGTCAAGTTTTGTCAAAAATTAAAGGTCCAGTGATGATGACAATAGAGAAGACGAAGATGAAGTAAAATGGAATACATTTTAGAGGTAAAATAAAGTACATAATAGAAGATCATTTCTATCACAAAAGTGAAAAAAGGGTTTAAGTGTATGTTTTTGATTGCACAATTTAGATTTTTGTCAATGTACAGCTAGGATTCTGGCCATACAATAAGTGCAGAAAACGTCAACTTTTAGACTAAAGGTAGTCCTGTAGATAACAATTAAGGAGAAATCGCGTGAGACAGGGTGACCTGATTCAAGAAGGTGTTCACAGATGAGAAACTCCACGCTATGCTCACTTTTCATCATCCTAACACACAAGTTTCAGGGTAGTCAGCTGTAGAGAAGCACATAAAGGAGCAGATGCACACTGAAATGGACATAAGCGACAATCAATCCTTAATGCATTGTCTAATCATGCATCAGCTAAAGAATACTAGGTTGAATTCAGCAGCACAGAAAGCGAATTTACTGCACTTGGATAGATGAATCTGAACAACTTTATTAATAGTGTCACCTTTGAATGGAAAACTCACAAATAATGTCTTCTATGACACTATTATTTGGCAAGAAGCTATTTCTTTCAATAAACCTTCTAGGATATTCACTGCTTGAGAGTAGTATGCGAAAGTTCTCCAGATACTTTTCGGGCAAATTTTCAGAATTCTGGAGCACAGTGAATGGAAAAAGTATTTCCCCACCTACCTATACATATTAACTGATTAAAAATGACCATTACAATTTTCGAAAGAATAGTTATTGAAATAAGAATGCTCTTTTCGATAACTTCATCATCAGGTTCTACAGTTATACATACATTAAAGTGAATGAATTAGTGTTATTTCTTTTTTATTCCTTCATGTTCCCAGCGGGAAATAGTGCTTCAAGCTAGAGGCTTAAAGTTTCTGTAGTAGTGTTTATTTTTGCAGGATGGGGTAGCTAGCCTCGTGCCCAATCTTTCCTCTTTGCCAGCTATATTTCTGGCTTAGTGAGGTAAGGGAGTGCGCAGGCTGGGGATCGAACTCCGGACCATGTGCATGGTCGGCGAAAGCCTTAACCGCTATGCCATCGACGCACAATTAGTGTTATGAACAACATTAATGTTGTTTAAATAACATCGAATCAGTAGTAATAATATCAGTAGATTACAGTTCAATAGCATCAACATAACAATAAACTGAATATCAGAAAAATTAGGAAAGATAACTATAATGCAAATTCATGAATTTATAGTCTTTACTGAAGGCTGGCCAGGCCAGTAGTATTGGCTGTCTGAACTCGCTTCTTTTGTGAGCCACAGAGTTAGAACTATATGCTCAGAAGAAGTAATTGAAGACGAATTAAGCATTGTATATGATACTTTGAGTGAAAATAGCTATCACAGAAAATTTATTAAGAAACACATGACAAAGAAAGCGGAATAGGACTACTCACTATCTGTAAGCAAGAAGCATTTATATACACGACTGTAATTTAAGGGCGATATACCAAGTGAAGTAATTACGAAGAAATTAAGAAAATCAGTTCAAAGAAGTTTTCATGATGGCGAACTACACGTGTAATTCTCTACACGACCGGTGGTGATTCCTTGACTGAAAGATGAAGCAGCTGGACTAACCACTTCAAATTGTATCTCTCGATTCAACTGCTCTTGTGGAGCGAGTTACATCGGCCGTTGCCCTAGGAACTTGAGTTTTCGTGCTCACTCAAGGAACATCTCCCAGTATGGCTAAGCAAAGGTGTAGTGAAAACCATCAACAATTCGATATTATACCATCTGGTCCACAAAGCCAGCATTGAAGAATCCTTTTGTATCATTATCTACTGGGTGCTAAATAAATTGCCAAAAACATCGAAGCACCTAATGCTTCAGACAGCAGAGGCTATCGCAATTCGCATGAAACAACCAGTGCTTTGTGTGCAAAGGAAGCAAGTCCAGCCACCCACTACTACTGCCCTGGCCAGTTTTCAGTGGAGACTGTAAATTCGTGAATTTGCATTATTGTTATCTTTCCTAATTTTTATGACATTCATTCAGTTTATTGTTATATTGATACCATCGAACTGTAATTTTCTGATATTATTATTAATGATTCGATGTTATTTAAACAACATTAATGTTGTTCATAACACTAATTCATTCATTCACTTTAATGTTTGTATAACTGTAGAGCCTGATGATGATGTTATCAAAAAGAATATTCTCTGTTCAATAACCATTCTTTTGAGTATATATATATATATATATTACATCATTGAATCGTTTTAAATAATATCTTTGTTACTGCTTTATTTTAGGTGATAATAGTGCTACCGGTGTTCAACTTCCACTGCCTACTACAGCATATAAATGGTGTAAAGATACTACTGATACTACTGATAATACCTTATCAAGTATACTGATGAAAAATTATCCAGATAAATCACTGCCTACATCTAGTCAATCTCTTGCATCACATTCACTCTCTCTTATTGAAGATAATCTATACAAATCTAAGCCTAAGATAACTTTTAAAAAAATTGGACATAAAATTCAAGCTATTCTTTCATTAACAGAATCTGGTAATACTGGATTATATCGGAGTGGCGAAAAGAAATCTACCAGTCTAAGGATTAATAACAATGACTATAATAATGATGACGATGATGCTGCTAATGACGATAAAGATCCTCTGTTAGTGCCAGTTATACGCGGACGTGTAGTTTCAACATTTAAACCTACTTTACAGATGATACCTGATATCTTTCAAATTCTACTCAAATCTAATGAGTTATTGTCAAGTATGAATTCAACAAATCAACCAATAAGTGTTTATCGTGCATACACTCGTCATTTGATTTTATCAGTTGAAGTATTGAATAAGCTTATCAGGCAATCGAATCGTTGTTTAACGCATAACTTTATATCACGATTAATAAGTACACAAATTGAAATGTTATCTAAAGTGAATCATTTAATTGCTGTTAAAATATTATTAAATAATATAGAATATATTCTACTTCATCCATGGTAAGTAGAAATTATTTTTTTTCAGGTTGGCCTACGGATTGATATCAGTCAGAGAGTACCACTGAAAACTAGCCACGGAGTTCGGGATGCATCAACCCAGGACCTTCCGGTTACAAGGCAAGCTTGTATACCAGCCACTAGGACCCGACTCAATCGCCTATGAATTCTAACTTCTACCAATTCGCGATTTTGATGCGACCACCAACCAATGTCATCGGAAGGAACTCCATAATCACCCCCCGAATGGATGGAACTCACTGGTAACGACTTCTCATTGGAACTCTAGCCAGTCACCAGCGAGCATCAGATTAATTTTGAAGAATTAGTCTGTAGGGATTGTATCTGTTTCAGAATAGACCACGGATTGATATCATGGGCCATTGAGTCAAGTTCCAGTGACTGAATGGTATACGAGCCTGCCTTGTAACTGGAAGGTCCTGGGTTCGAATCCCTGTGGATACGTGCTGTCAATTATCCACAAGATAGGATGAAACAGTTGTACAGTACTCTCTGGTTTTCCATGGTTCTCTAACTGATATCAATCCGTAGTCTAACCTGTAACAAATATAATGCCTACAAACTAATGCTTGAAAATTATTATTTGTCAAGATTGGTTATATTAATTATTTGGGTGAATGATTGAAATGGGAATTAAATTCTGATTGCCACTAGGATTATTAATGCAGGTCATGATGGCGGCCGTTGAAGCATTTATTCATCTGCTACTCCATTGACAAAACTACTTACTGTCAGTGCTAACTAGATGTCCTATAAAAGCTAGGATTGTATGTCGAGGAAGGTGATAGTATATGAGCACACGAAACACATGCCTTACCTATGCCATTCGATGCATATTCATAACCTTATGGAGAGACTTATTCTCGCAAATAATCTTATTACTTCATTTAACACCTAAGATAAAAAAGTTGTTGATTTTTCCAAAATTTTCCACTTTCAATGACTACCTCACGGCTGTAAAGCAGAGGCTTTTGATGATTTTCTGGATATTATTTTAAATATTCCCATTATGATAATTATAGAACACTATGTAAAGAAGCAAATATGTATTTTCGGTAAATTCTAAATAGGTTTTATAATCACGCAATTCAATGTTAGTCGGAGACATTTGAAACAATGTGGATAAATAGAATCAAGTATAGTCAAGCAGAATGTAAGTAGAACAACCATAAAATATGCAGCCATAGCACACTATGATATTGTTCACAAAGTTAGCAGTTGAAATAAAAATAAGATTTACAGGTATCCGATGTTATCAGAAGAGAGGAAACTATTCTACGTTGTGGTTGAAATCTATGAGAGGAAGAGGGATGGAAAAACTTTTTCTGTATACAGATTGAGTTGAAAAGTTTCTTAAGACAGCTGCCTAAGCTATGCTCAGCAATCAGAGGTGTATAAACTTATGGAATTGAGGTGGCACCCTATATAGAACCATAAACGCGGAATTCTTATCAGCCTTGTGCACCGTGCGCACAAGGTGTTCTGATATAGAACTCTTGATTGAGTTAAAGAATTCTCTCCTTAATCATGTTGGACATTGCTGAAGAAGACGACAGTGGAGTTCTTGAATCGTTCCACGTATGTATCTGTAGCCGCAAGAACGGTTAAATTTTAAGATGCACGATGAGATGGGCAGAATCGTCAGCTATTCCGTCACCTGTATTGGAATTAAACAACGAGTGGTGAATTCTAAACGTAGTGTGGTGAGAGCTGTCAGCTCGCCAAAATTGGTAGACGGCAATTTACGTCAATGTTTACATCCCAAATCTTGGTCAGGAGAAAAAAACAAGAACAAAGCCTAACCTTGAGGAACTCAACAACCAATCACAGCAGACTTTACGTGTGCGGATACGATTCGCAGATATATCAACGGAATGTCTAAAATAACGTCAACAAAGAGATGATAACAAAGAGAAGAAGAATAGAATGACTCAGAAGAATTATGTAAAATACAAACAAGTTGATGGAATTGGCTAGAACTGTAAAAAATAACAAAGTCAAAAGACATTTACAAGGGCAGGGGAAAATAGTTCTTAAAAACTTAATACATATTATCCAGTTGGCCATGGGAAAGAAAGGGACTGTACAAATTTCTTTTGAACACACGGATTTGGCTTGTTCAGATTATTTCCGATTACCTCTGTTGTATGTAAAAGTCGTACTCGTAAACTATGCGAGAGGTTGGATGAAATACGATAGATAACTTTAAAAGCTTTGTTATAGTCGACTTGATATCTAGTATCGACGGGATGAGCTAGTATTGAGCTACGTATAGTAGCTGTATTCATACCTTTGCCAAACTAAGACGGGAGGTGTTCAGAGATTCGACTATGAACTTGACTGATCATACGGCCATTGTTACTAGCTCCGCACGGGAAGTTAAATTGGTAAATAAACATGGAAGAGACGAAACAGGACAGTCTGTCTTTGTTTCTTGAACTAGGTATTGGCTGGCTAGTGAATATAAAACATAGCTTAGCTGCGTTAAAAAACCTTTTGAAGGCCCTTCTCAGACGTTTTGATAATCTCAGGAACACTAATTTTTTGGGAACAGTCGGCACCTTCGGTTTTTTACTTTTTGAGTTCATGTGTTTGTCCATGAATTTAGTCCGATATCCGTTTCTACTTAGTAGATCATGAATATTTCCGAGTTCCTCGTTCCGTGTCTCATTTGAATAGTTAACTCTAGCCCGGTGAACCAGACATCTAACTACATTAAGTTTTTTTATTGTAGAGGTACGAAGCTCAGGAAGTCAGTATATTGTCTAGTGGAAGTAGGCTTTCTATGCAAACGTCGACATATTATTCCATCTGTTCGTTTAGTCATTAGGACGTCCAAAAAGGAGATAGAGTCATATTCTTCCTCTTGTTTAGTGAAGCTTATGCCAGGATGTGTTTTACTGAATATCTTTAGTCTCACTTTCTTGTGTAGTGAAATTTCGTGAATATCTGCTTTTATGAAAGACGAGCATTAGATATTTTTATTCAATGTTTTCCAGAAGGATAAAAGAGCTGTAATGTGTGTGAGTGTGTTTGTGTGTGTGTAGGAACTCTTTTGAATACTAGTAGTAATAATTAAACACAAACATATTTATTTACTCTCTGTAATTCTTTTCTTTGTCTCTTTTCCTTTAGGTTTCTTCTGTGTTATGCTTTTCCAACATATGAAACTGAGATATTTACTGGTTCTATTCTAAATGCACACCTGTTAGTTAGATTTTGGCAATTTATTCAACAATCATTACAGTTGATTCATAAAAAGTCGAATGAAAATACTGACTCTGTATTATTATCACCATCATGTAATGATACTACTGATATTACTAATTCAGTAACCACAACAGCAGCTACAATTAAATCGACTACAACAGGTAATCCTAATAGTAATAACAGTAATATAAGTGAAAATACAAGTAAATTGAATGGATTAGCTCAATCTGCTCTTTATTATTTGCAGCATAAAGTTAACGCTAAAGAAAATACCGTAAGTTATGATATATATATATATATATATATATACATGCATATTTGTATTTTATTTCATAAATTAAAAGGTGAACATGGTAAAGCACTGAGTTCAGATAACTCAACTGTAAGGTGTCTCTCTGACTTCAGCAGTGAACGACGAGGATTCATATCTCCAATTAGGCTGATAAGCACCAATAAGCATGAAACCTAAGTCCAGAGCTTCCTCCCAATTGATCCTAATCACCTTGTTTGTTGAATTTCATTTTTTTGAAATAAAAATAAACGTGGTTATGTGTTGAATGTAGCACTGATAACTTAGTATTCGTCCATCTTCTAATCCCTGTGTTGATAGATGGCTCCACTGATGATAATCCACTTGGATCTCTAGGCTTAAGTATTCAAGAAGATATATACGTCAGTCTAGCAGTATGCCTGTCAGACAGCATTAGAAATTATTTGTCTGTAAATCCTAGTTGTCCTGGTTTTCTTCTCAGATTAGCACAATTAATCCTCAAATTCAGTTGGCACAGGGGGTTCCAATCCAAGTTAATCTGTGTTGATTTCTTAAGTACATATTCCTGCTGATAAATAAAAAAGGGTACACCCATTGATTGGGTATTGGTTTTCAGGAGAACCGAACACACCTATCCCTGCCTCTTGCGAGACGAGACCGGCATGCAATATCATCCTCGAGTGGCGCAACCACTCGAGAGCCCTCTCACTCGTTTGAGCGTCGGTGGCATAGCGGTAGAATGCTAGCCAGTCACGCAGGTGGTTCGTGGTCCAACCCCCAGCCAACGCATTCCTAAACCTCGCTAAGTCAGTAATAAGACTGGTAAAGAGGGAAGGTTGGGCATGAGGCTGGCAACCGCATCCACTGCTACTGAAACTTCAAGCCTCTAGCTTGAAGCCCTACGTTCCACTAGAAACTTAAAGGAACGAAAAAAGAAATAAAATAGGGGTAAAATTAGCTCCCCTCTGGAGTTATCTAATGAATACTTAGAACATTTTGAACTCTGTACGCTACATTGTGACATAAGAATATTTCATGTAAAAGTAACACTCATTATTCAGAATTAAAAAATTTCTAATGCATTTGAGTGATGAGCACTGATAAGTTTAAGTGAGAAAATAATGTGAAACCGCGTTTGATTAGGAATAGGCGGCACTAGAATTCATTATTTCCCCATTTATCCTGTTTGATATTAGTTATCTGGCTGGTGATGGCCCTATAAATCTCGAATTGACAAAAGGTTAGAATTCATGGAACATTGAATTTTTGTCCTTTTTAGCTGGATAGTCAATTGGTTTGCATCGTAACCTCAAGCTCAAAGGTTCAGTCCTTGCTAAGGTTATGGGTGTTATGAACTGCCGAAGAGTATGAAACTAGGATGATTCTTTAAGTGATACTGGTCCATAGTATTACTCGATATTAGTCGAGTCTTTGCAAACCAACCCTTGAAAGTGATTTTCAACCGAGAAAATGATGTAAAACTGAGTTTGCTAGAGAGTGGCCAGCACTAGAGTTTAGTACTCCTTAGATATGCGTTATCTGATTACGTTCACAACTCAGTTTATGACGATATTCCTAGTGAGATTCATATACAGCCCATGTTGGATACAAATTCTAATCGTTACCAAATCTAAAAATTGGGAATTAAAATGAAATACAGTATTTAGAAATCCGATTTGGTCGCCAAATGATTAATAGTAACTGGTAAATTCAGGGAAACAATGGTTTCAGTAAATAATATCGAACTAAATTTAGTAAGATTCATTTTATTGGAAGTTAAGAGAGCTCCTGGAAATGTTATGAATTCAAGACCTATTATTACCTGCTAAATAGTTAATCTGAATTCTACGACACTAAAATGATATAGCCCACCAATCACCTCTTTTGGCGTCCCTTGAATATTGCCTAATCACCACTCTACTTTTATATATCGCTGTGCTGATGGTTATTTCAATATTAAAATTAATTTTAACAAAATGGCTTGTCTTGTGCGTCACTAGCACAGTGGTTAGGACGCTCGCTGACCATGCATATGGTCCGGGTTTCGATCCCCGGTTGACTCACTCCTTTACCTCGCTAGGCCAGTAATAAGACTGGTAAAGAGGGAAGGTTGGGCATGAGGCTAGCAACCCCATCCCGTAAAAATAAACACCAATGCTACTGAAAATTCAAGCCTCTAGCTTGAAGTCCTATGTTCCATTGGGAACGTGAAGGAATAAAAAAAATTGGCTTGTCTGAATTCTGCTTTTATTGAGATTGTATGAGATATGCCTTTGCAAATGTAGAGCTTAATGATTTATTCTGTGGGAGATGATATTTCCTTTCACGGATCTATTCAAAGGTGTATCTTTTGTATACTGTTACACCTACTCAATGAAAAGTCAGACAAAAATGAAATTTTCAAGTGTTGTCTATCATGGATTTAATTGGTTACAGTTCTGATCACGAGGTGACACCAAGTCAAGTAAGGGAATATTTATTCGTCGATGACATTGTTCGGCGGTTGCTCTGTATATATTTTATTATTATTGTTTCTTTTAGTTCCTAGAGGAACATAGGGCTTCAGCCACACGTCTCCATTTCGTTCAGTTCTCTGACAACGTTTCCATCTGGCTCCACGTCTCCCCACATGTTTTCTTCTCTTCTTCACATGACCTCCTCCATGTCACCCTCAAACGACCAACTCGTCGCTTCCCATTCAGTCGGATTCCACTGAAGCAATGGCCTAGCGTGTGATGTCACTTGATGGTTTGTTTTCTCAGACTATGGCCAATCCACCTTTATTTCTTCCTGCTTATTTGTGGCACAGTTGTCAGAGATCCCTGTTACTGTTCTTTTCTGGTCATCTGATCTTGAGCAAAGCACTGAGCAAAGACAGCTGTTGATGAAGGTGCGGAGTTTGTTTGAAGTACTTTTCATGACGCGCCAAGACTCCGATCCATAAAGTAGCACTGATTTCACATTGGATTTGAAAATCCGGATCTTATTTTTCATGTTGAGTGCGCTCTGTATATATATTTGGAGTTAGAAGAATTCGAAATCTATGAGCCGTTTGATCTGGCCTCAATGGCTAAAGGGTCTACGAGCTCGCTTTTCAACGTGAAGGTCCTAAGTTCGAAGCCGATTGGCCGTACTTCAATAGACTTTACTTACTTTACTTCGGCTATCTCCTACGGGAGGATGAGCCGGCTTCATGAACATCTCGAATCATCGCTGCCCAGGCGCGGCGATCTGATGCAAGGTTCGTTTGTAAGAGAGTTCATGAAGTTTCATGGGAATTCGGTACGAGTGATGTCCCCAGAATCGCTCGGCCTTTTGTTTCAGAGTGCAGCTCTAGCCTTTACACAACCAAGTGTGACCTACAAGGCAGTGGGAGTGGAGTAGGGAGTCCACTATCCATTGGCAACCGGTGACCGGAGTTCGGTTCATACGCCTTTTTGAATGGGGCCAGATATCCAGGAAATCCAAAAAGCCCTTTGTCCATACGTCTGCCAGTGAGCTTCAGTGAGCTTCATACGCCAGTCGTTGGAGGTTTGGAATCAGGGTTTAGCCATCTCCCCTAGACTGTCATCCAATGGACAGTCAACCCGGTGAAGAGCGCCGGGCATCCGCTTTCGCCCTCTCACTTTGGTGAAAAACACCTCCGCCACGTGAAGGCAGTGAGTAGGACTTCCTCAGGAGAGGCCATGTAAGACGCCCGGTCATATGGGAGCATTTCAAGAGGTGTGCAGAGGGGTGGCCAACCCGCAGCGCAAGGCACCCACCCCCGACCATCCTGAGGCTTTGGAGGCTACTTCAATAGAGTCCCAAACTAGGATGAAATAGATGTCTCTGGTTTTCCAGTGTTTCTCCAGCTCGTGATCAAACCAAAAACTAAATTATTATTATTAAGAATGTAAAAATTCACAAGGGAGTGAACAGATTCCAGCTGTTGCATCCTCCATTTGGGTAATCAGCATAAATGTTTTTGTGATAGATAGCAATATAGTGGTTTCTGAGACACTAAAAGTTTGAACAAAATCATCTTAGGAAAGTAAATTATATCTTTATCTACATAAAAGCTATCACCGTTTTGTACAAACACTTTAAATCTGCGTTAGGATGAATAACTCGTATATTACACTTCTAACAGGCAACACTGTTTACACTATATAACGTTGTTAAAATTATAGATGAATATCAATGCAACAAGTATATGATAAATAGGGTTCAGTTGACCACAAAAAGCACAAATTAAGAGATTAACATAACATGATTCCGGACTAATGATGATAGGGTACATTAATTCACGCTTTATTTTCTTTCTAAAGTAGAACTTCCTTAGTCCTTACATACTTGTTTTTATCTTTAGGAATTCCTCAATCTTCCAAGGATGTCTTCATTCGGTTATCATTTCATTATTTTCTATTGGACGCATAAATGCGATATTAGGCAAATGGAACTGGTATGTAGCATTATTAGTAGTGTAACGACAGAAGATAAGGGCCAGGCAACAGATCGTTTATTGAGAAAATCAACAGATATTTATACATTTTCATGAACATTATTATTCGTTATTGTTAGCAGAGAAGCAACGCCTTCTGATTGGTTGTTTTCCTGCTGAAGGTTATTCTGTCATCTCTTTGTTGACGTTTCTTAGACAGTCCGGTGATACAGCTGCGAATCGTATCCGCCCACGCTAAGTGTGCTGTGATTGGTTGTTGAGTTCCTCAAGGTTAAGCTTTGTTCTTGTTTTTTCTCCTGACTGCGACTTGGGAAGTAAACATTGACGTAAATTGTTGTCTACAATTTTGTCTTGCAGACAGCTCTCACCACAGTAGAACTAGGTTTTGTTCAACATCTGTCTTGAAGCTGTAACTGAGGTTAACAAGAATTTCTGCAATCTGAAGCTAGGAAAAGCGACAGGACCTTGTGGAATGACTCTATAGGTGTTAAAGGATGCTGGTGACAAACTATTTCCTGGGTTAACTAGTGGTATTAGGTAGTGTCTAGATGTCAGAGATAGTTCCACTGGACTGGTGTAAATCATTGATTATCCCACTCTTTAAGAAGGGTGTCAAATTTTTCCTTGATAATCCTAAGGGGCTTGGCTTGACTAATATAGTATTGAAAGTTCACGGCTCAAGGACGACGTGTAGACTAAGAGTTGCTTAGAAGAAGCAAATCTGGGAAGACTGGGCAGGCTTTAGGCCAAGACGGGAGTTTATTGATGATATCTTCACCCTTTGACAAATTCTGGAACATAGCTGTACCTACTGGCTCCCAACACTCGCCATATTTCTTGACCTGAAGGTGGCATTCGATTCCGTCTTATGGAATTACAGTATGTGGGTGATGTCATCCTTCTAGGTGAAGACACTGACAAAATCTTGTCATTTGAATATCTGCGATTCGCTCCAATCACATGCAGGGTGATGGTGCAAGACTGGTCTACACTGACTGCTATTTTAAAGATAAGGAGTGAATTGGCTGAGTTAGTGACTACTTCACTTATTTAGGAAGTTGCTGATTGCTGATGAAATCTCAGCCTGGATACAAAAAGCTTGTATAACACCTTCTAAATTATGTCATCTCTGTTGTAGACGTGATATCCGGCTATCAATGGAAGGACGTGTATACTACACAGCAGTTTTTCTTCTTTCTCTTTTAAGTCTGTGAGACATGGCCACTGAAAGTGGAAGATATGAAAAGGTTAATTGTCTTTGATTATAGGTGTTTGCGTTCTGTCTTACGTGTCAAGTGGCATAATATGGTGGTCAATAATTAGGTTAGGCGTTGAGTGAAAGTTTAGGAAGAGATGTTAGTCAATGTTGAGGATGTGATGGGTAGACCATGTGTTGCGCATGTCAAGCCATCAGCTTCTACGACAGGAAATGTTAGCTGACATAAGACTAGGTTGAAAAAGTGTTCAGAGTGGTCAAATCAAAACCTGTCATCATAAATCTGTAATGTCTTTGACAGTTGGTTTGAGCCACGTGGGATGGTGTAGACTGTCTGGTTGTTGTTCTTGGGAGTCTCAGAAACAGTGGCTTGAGAATATTGATGATAGAGCTCAAAATCGTTATCACCAACGCGTATCTCAGATCCATTAGGTTTCTGATGTTACTTCATGTAATTATTCTGTCTCCGTACATTTCTGTTCATTATTCTCTCTTTTCTCTATCTTTGTGTGCCACATAGACTGTGTCAGTTTGAACTGTTGCGCTTCTGCGCAAAGCTTCGTCTCGAAACTCAGCCACTAGATTCTGTGTTGCTGGCGATAAGCCGATTGGCTGACTACTAACATTTTCATGACCTTAATCAGATTAAAAAGATTCAGGGGAATTTTTATATTGTGTAAAAAGAGATTTTAATTTTATTCATAATATTACCCATTGTAAATATCTTTAAACATCTCTCTACTTTTATATCCGTTTTCTTTTTCTTAATATCTTTTTCTATATAGGATGTTGCACCAAATATGTACAGTAATTTCGCTCAATTTAATGGTTAGTTTTCAGAGAAAAAAGTGTCATTGGAAGTATTGGACTATTGAATTTATTTCCATATGATTTGAATCCAGTGCATATTATCCAATTAGAAATCTTCTATTCATGAAATTTCTGTTATATATATATATATATGTACTGGTAGAACTCCCAGTCACTCAATTTTACTGGGTAGTGTATCATATATATAAATGGATGTAGAATTAGTGATATAAAGATTTTTGCGCTTTTAAAGTACATTATATCTTTAAATATTCCCATTATTAATAATAGAAAAAGATATATAAGCGAACAATACTGTTTTCAATAAGATCTTCTTCAGGCTTTACTCTAATTTACATAGCTTTTCTTGCGGAGAAAGCTATACAGGGCGTCCACAACTAGACAGATCAACAAACGTATTAACAAGCATCTTCCTTCAAGGTTCAAAAAAGACCAAATACAAGTTCTATTTTGACTCATTTGATTGATGACAGCGGTCAACAAGTGGAGAGAAGAAGTGCCTTCAAAGTGATCCACCGCATTCCATTGAACCTTTTGAACCCGCCTTTTACACATAGCCAAAGAAGCTATGGGAATTAATTCGAGAGGACAGTCCCAGTCTTTGCATACAAAAGAAGTTTGTTCTACCTTTGTCTCTTCTTTGCTTGCCTAGGAAAAGTTTAATTAAAACCTTACCACCGTTTCTTATTTGCCATTTCCTACCTTGGTGTTTTAACGATATTTATCTGAACTCCGATTGTCTATCCACTTCACCTTTAGTATTACGTAACTTTTAAGATTTGACCTAATTTATTTATTCAATTGTCTGCATATACACATATTACTACCTTCGTTATTCTTATCGCCACCTGAATAAACCTTATTATCATTATAATCATCGTTATTACTGACGTTCAAAACATTTAAGACAGTACTATTATTATTATTTGATCCACGAAATTGCCGTCATTGGTTCAACTTTTTTAATATATAAATCTATGTAAATTAGAGTAAAGCCTGAAGATCTAATTGAAAACAATATTGTTCGCTTGTATGTCTACAAAACCAATACTTGAAAATATATATATATATAATATATATTGCATGGAGGATTTCATCATGAGCTGACATCAGTTAGAGAACCACTGGAAAACCTGGGAGTACTGGACAGCTGTTTCGTCCTAGTTTGGGACTCTTCGAACCCCGGTGGGTGCGTACTGATGAAGAGTCCCAACTGGGACGAAACGGCTGTCCAGTACTCCCAGGTTTTCCAGTGGTTCTCTAACTGATGTCAGCTCATGATGAAATCCTCCATGCAATCAAACAAAAAATCCCTACAAAACCAATACTTGAAAAAAAAATATATATATAAATTAGAATGAATATATGTGCATCGGTGGCATAGAGGTTAGAACTTTCACCGACCATGCACATGGTCCGGGGTTCGACCTCCAGCCGACACACACCTGATATCAATGGTCGGCCTGCAAAATTTAGGCTACCGATATCACATGCTGAAAATTCCATACTTGTACCTAAATACGGTGCGGAATCAATCTATAATCAAAAATATATATATATCCAGAGGTTTTACTAAATTAGGATCATATCATAATTCTAAATACTTATGAGTTTAGGGGGCCAGGGTATTCTCAAACTGACTCACTTATTGTTTGGAGTATACCATTAAATGATGGCAAAATCATTTTCTTGGTAGAGCAAGAAAGATCAGATTTGGACTATAAAATGATGTAAACATACTATTTCACAGGTTCTCATCAGCTTAAGACTAAGTGAAATAACAGTGGTCATATAAAAACAAAGTTAGCATACTTCAATGTTTGAATGGTTTTAGAGAAAATATAGATTTGCACAGCAACTCGAGAAGGTTATAGTTTATAGGACTGAAATTGCTCATTGAACTGAAATTACCGATATGGATGACTAAGTTACCAAAGGAAAAAGAGATATTGATCATACTTTCTTCTTTGTATGCATAAGTTTGGTATGAAATGTTCGATTGAAATTGCCTCGGCAAGTCGGAGTAAATTTCGCTATCCTTCTTGTATTTAGTATTTTGAAATTTTGAGAAAATTCCTCATATCCACACAAGGTGTCTGGTGATTGCAATTTGCGAATATCTGCATCCTTTTAGGGATAAGTTTCTTGGTATATGCCCAGGAGAACATTGAAACATTGAAGTAAATTATTTTCATCCCTTCATAACTGCAGAGGATGAGAGCCTGTGGAGGAGAACAACGTCATCTTATACTGCGAATGTCGTATTTCTTGCTTTATAAAAATTTATCATGTGAACCATGTGACATTAGCTGGAGTTTGTGCATTGGTCCAAGGTTCGATCCCTGGCCGACGCACTCCTTTACCTTGTTAAGCCAGATATAATGTTGGTGAAGAGGATTGGTTGGGCATGAAGCTAGCAACCCCATCCTGTAAAATAAACACCCCTGCTACAGAAACTTCAAGCCACGAGCTTGAAGCCCTATGTTTCACTGGGGAACGTGAAGGAAAAAAAATACCACAAACTGGCAGGAGTTGAGATTCATTGGCCTTTGGGTCTCGTCTCAGTGGCTGAATAGTCTACCAGCTTGCCTTGTAATCAGCAGGTCCTGGATTTGGACCCTGGTGGGTGAATACTGTGTATAGTCCCAAACTAGGATGAGACAGCTCTCCAGTACTCCCTGTGATTCTTTAGGTGATATCAGTTCATTATCAAACATGTAAACGGTTGTGATATTATATATATATATACATATATATAAATACTGTCTTAATACAGAATAACATTGCAGAACATTCCCTACTTCACGTTAATGTCTTTTCGAAATTCTTTCATGAAATTACAGAATTACCGGGTGAAAATAATCTAGAATCAATTATATGGATTCTTGGTGAATTAATTTATTTCATGGGTAATGAAAATGATTCAATTAAGATATTATCTCAACTAGCTGAACACTTTATACAAGTGAGCTGATCTCAATTTTTGTTTTTATAATATATATATATATATATATAATATTCCCATGGGTACCGAATGGAAATTATGGCTTCAACAATATATCTCCACTTTGTTCTGTTTATTGCTGTCCTCTTTAGTTGTGTCCACGATTGCCCATAATCTATCATCTCCTCCAGGTCACCCTCACACTAATGACCCACTCGTCGCTTCCCATTCGAATTCTACTCCAGCGATAGCCTGCATTGCGCATGATGTCATTCGACAGCCTTCTCAACGCATGCCCGATCCATCCCCATTTTATACTACATATTTGTTGCGAGATAGACTGTCGCCTGTTGATTTGTTGCCAGCCAGAGTTTCTTGTTGCTGATTCTTTCTGGCCGGTTTCCTGGCCATTTGATCTTCATTATGGAGCCAGTGAAGGCAGCTGTTGATAAGAGTATTTTACCTGTTAGAAATCCTTTTCGTGATACGCAGTGCAAGTTTCTGACCCGTATAGAAGAACTGATTGATTTCACATTTGTATTGAAAATCCGAATCTTGTTCTTTATGCTAACTGAGTAAGAGCAGAAGATTTCCAAACTGGTTTCAGGTTGATATGGGCGTATCTTGCCTTTCCGATTCTGCCATTCTTTGACATCTTCATCCGTTTCGACTGCTTTTGGTTAAAACCGTGCTTCTTAGATAAGTGGTGGAAGTAATCTCTCCCGTTGATGGTGACTGGTGCTTGTTGTATATATACATAAATGTCTTCCGTAATGGAAAGTAATAAATTCAAAGGGCGTTTTAATTAGCAAGTTGGCAAGATGAATTGTTCAGGTAGCAACATTTCAACTATAGGAGGCAAGAATTACAACATCAAACCAACAGGAGTAGTAGAGCAAAACCGTCGTTCATCACTGTAAAACCAGAGTGTAGGTTTAAGGCACCTACACAGCACAAGGAGAAAAATCTGGAAAATTAACACCAGTGTTTATTCAGCCAATACTTTTGCCTAGTTCAAAGACACGTGGCACGTAAGCCACCAAAGGCGTTTTCAACAATTTACTGCAAACTTTTATCAACAGTCGCCTCTCCTTACTTGATACTGAAGATCAGATAGAGGGTGGGAAAGAATTAGCAGCAAAGAACTGTGGCATAGAAGCAGTCAGTAATTGATTACCTAACAAATATATATAGAAGGAAATGGAGATGGTTCGGATATAATTTGATGAAACATTCAAGCGATATCAAACGCCAGGCAGGTTCTTGAGTGAAGCCTGAATGAGAAGTAACAAGTTCAGTGTTCGAATAGATCATGTAATAAGAAAATGAAAGCTTGTGGCCAGTTGTTGAGTAATATCAGAGAGCTGAGTGGAATAGGGTTATATCGCCTTGCCCTATGTTCTATCCGGACTTCAAGGTAGATAGGCTATAGGCAGAGAAACAAAAGTCTGTTACTGGTCAATGAATAGTCGGACTACGTCACTAACATACTGTTCAAGAATAATACGAAACTTCATGTAGGAAGAGGACTATGTAATTATGCTAAAGTCTATAAAGGTTGTCAAAAAGATGCCAGATGTAACAAGACAGAAATTCAACTGAATGTAGTTTAAGATTTCTGACTGCCCACTTAGTATACGTAAAAAGGATTAAAAGATTGAAAACATGTCACAATAAATAGTAACAGTAGTGGTAGGGAAACTTACAAGTGGAGGGGGTTAAAACTGTGACAGAGAGAGCCCTCAGATTTACACCGTATATGTGGTTCAAGCTTGTATCAGTGTGTGGATGAAGCCCACACCAAGCACATGTTTTGGAATCTAACTTCTATTGTATCACTAATCCCAACTATGTTGACAGTTTTATAGCAGAATTCTGGTAGAACTATGTAATACAGATTAGCTACACAGTAATGTATTGTGATGACTGACTTGTACTGGCCTGCATAACTACCTCATTATGGATTCGCTCAGTACCGTGGCATTTTCCTTCCATTTCCTGAATTCGTTGCCAAATATGAAACATAAACTACAAGTCGTTAGAAAGAAATTTCCTTTACAACTATGGGAACATATAATTCTTCAAAATTATTGTTCAAATACTACCTGAAAATTCAACATTCATACACAGGATCATCTTTTCATTGTCTTCTCTGAGATTGATGCACTCCTTGATGCACCTAGAGAAACTTTCATTTAGAATGATGAATGTATATAAGTCTATTAAAATTCATTATTGATTGTTTCATATGTGCGAAGTGACTCCATAGTCCGGTAATCTCACCATAATTTAAATTAAACTCATGTAGAAATGTGCTCAACGAATCAGTACTTACCAGAAGACACAACTGTACGATCCAAAGATCGATATATCGCAAGCCAACATGGACGGGACAGTTTATCAACATCCAGAGCTTCGTCCCACTGATCCGAAAGCGAAACCTGGTACGTACATTAAGTTCAAAGATAAGAAAAATCTGCTCGGAAGACATGGTAGAGAAAGAATTAAATTTATTACGTGAAACCCTACTAGAGAACGGGTATCCACCAAGATTCGTAGACAAAAACATGAAAGAGAAGCCTCTGTAGCCAAACATCGCAACTGTCCCTAAGAAAACTCTCTTCATGAATCTGGAATTCAAAGGTGACATTGCAGCGGAAATTCTCAGAAACCGCCTTTCTAAATTTCTGAAGAAGACATTTCCAACAGCCACCTTACGTATCATATTTTTCCAGCAGACAGTTAATCCAGTCTAACGTTAAGGATTATATACCGCTTTTGGTCACTTCACTTTGTATTTATCAATTTACTTGCTCGTTTGGAGCAAAGTATATTGACCGTACGCAACGTCAACTCTGATTATACTATCGAATTGTATTATTATTGTTTCGTTGGTATTAGATGGTTGGAGGCAATCGGCAGGAAGCCTTGGACCTAGGTTTCGTGCTAGTTGGCACTCATCAGCAAGGCGTATCTGCAACCTTGAAGGAACTGATGTCCCTTCTGAGATTCGAACCCGCGTCACCCAGTGCTGCAGTCAGAGACGTTACCACTGAGCTATTCAGGCTCGCGACTGACCTCCTACAGGAGGTCAGTCGCGAGCCTGAATAGCTCAGTGGTAACGTCTCTGACTGCAGCACTGGGTGACGCGGGTTCGAATCTCAGAAGGGACATCAGTTCCTTCAAGGTTGCAGATACGCCTTGCTGATGAGTGCCAACTAGCACGAAACCTAGGTCCAAGGCTTCCTGCCGATTGCCTCCAACCATCTAATACCAACAATTCACAGTGCACCGTAATGGCGAGCCACCTAGCATGGTGGCCACATTGCAAACATGACTGATAGAATTCAGTCTGCACCGAAGATAGGACTAGACACATTACACTAGTTACTGACTAGTGTTCAATCAAAAATATTATTGTTTCCTTTAATTCCTAGAGGAACATAGGGCTTCAGCTGCACGTCTCCATTGCGTTCGGTTCTCTGCTAAAGTTTTCACCTGCCTCCACGTCTGCCCACATGCTTGCATCTCTTCCTCCTCCATTCCTTCCTGTTAATTTGTTGCACAGCTGGTTCCTGCTGGGTTGGTTCGCTCATTGCCAGATATCCCCGTTTCTGATCTTTTCTGGCCATCTGATCTTGAGCATTGAGCTAAGGCAGCTGTTAATGAAGGTCTGTAGTTTGTTTGAGGTGCTCTTTATGACGCGCCAAGTCTCTGATCCGTATAGTAAGTAGCACTGACTTCACATTGGAGTTGAAAATCCGGATCTTATTTTTGATGCTGAGTGTTGTTGACCTCCACACAGACTTGAGAAAAATGAAAGCTTGTCTTGCTTTTCCGATCCTTGCTTTAATATCCTCTTCAGTTCCGTCCGCATGTAGTTGAAACGATACTTCCCAGGTAGGTAGGTAGGTAGGTAGGTAAAGGAGGTTGTTTCCTTCAGGTTCCTTCCATTTATCTGGCTGATTGTTGTCTGTTGTTGTTGTTGCTGTTGGTGTTGCCCAAGAATCTTCATTACCTCTGTTTTCTCTATGTTCACCTAAATTCCTATCTTTGATGCTTCTTCTGCCAACTTGTTGCTTTTCATTTGCATATCTTCCAGTTTGTAGGAAATCAGACATATATCATCGGCGAATTCCAGATATCTACTATATATATATATATATATATCAATCATAGTTATCAATCTATTATTATAGTGGCTGAAAAGATGAAAGTCTGGTAAAATGTTTTATACTATCTCGTTGTAACTCAGAAAATTATTTCGACTCATGACCTCAGTTGAATTTATTCTTCAGATATCTACTAGTGAAGAAATTTGTCAATCACAGGTGATATGAACGATGAGCTCAAAGCCGAAAGATTCTTGCCTCTAATAAATGATGTTACCTTCCTTGATCGTCACATATCTTGGGGTAAAAGAGAAATCGTAATATATTACGGTGCTGTCAGTTATAATCTACTAAGATTTTGTGTCAGAATATGAAATAAGTTCGATCAACTTCAATATTCCTAACTATATTTTAGATGTTGCTTATTATTAGATGGTTGGAGGCGATCAGCAGGAATCATTGGACCTAGCTTTAGCGCTTGTCGGCACTTATCAGCAAGGCGTACTACAATCTTGACGGAAATCATGTCTCTTCTGAGATTCGAGTCTGTGTCACCCAGTGGTGCAGTCAGAGAAGTTACCACTGAGCTATTCAGGCTAGCAGTTGACCTCCAGCAAGACTGCAGCACTGGATGACACGGTTTTGAATCTCAGAAGGGATATGAAATCCTCTATGATTGCAGTAGGCCAAGAAGCACGAAAGCTAGGTTTAGGGATATACACCGATTACCTCTATTGTAAATTACCAATCTAAATGCACAGATGGTTTAGTGGTAGAATACTCACAAACTACTCAAGTGGTTAGGGATTCAGTATCCCGGTGACGTACTCTTTAACCCCTTGTCTCTCCTGTAGTAAGCCAGGTAAAGAAATAAGGTTTTGTGTTATGCTAGCAACTCCATCTGGTGAAAAATTAACACCACTGCTACTGAAACTTCAGAAGCTCAAGCTAGAAGCTGTATGTTTCACTCTAATGGCAAAGAAATGATAAAAAATAATAATAATAACCTAAGCGAAACACCCTCATAATAAAAGAAGGGTTTCACTGACTTATCAAGTCACGTCGTAATTTAGCACGATAAAAAGGTTAGCCAAATCGGTGATTCATCGGTAGAATGTCCACCAACATGCACGTGGTTCAGTGTTCGATTCCAGGTCGGTGCACATCATTACTACCCTTAGTTTGCTGTGAGCCTGGTAGACAGGAAAAGCTGGGCGGGAGGCTAGCAACCCCACCCCGCAAAACTAATATCACTGCTAGTGAAACTTCAGTGCTTAAGCCTGAAGCTCTATGTTCCACTGGGAATGCAAAGGATTATATATATATATATATGAATTGGCAGAAGTTGGAATTCATGGGCAGTTGGATCGGGTCCCAGTGGCTTAATGGTCTATGGGCTCGCCTTGTAACCAGAGGTCCTGGGTTTGGATCCCGGTGGGTGCGTGCTGATGAAGAGTCCCAAGTTAGGACGAAACAGCTGTCCAGTACTCCCAGATTTTCCAATGGTTCTCTAACCAATGTCAGCTCATGATGAAATCCTGTAACCAATCAACCAAATCCCTACAAACCAATACTTATATATATATATATATATATATATATATATTGAATGAAAATATCTGATTTGACCTCAGACTGATAAGTCGCCATTTGTGTAATGGGTGTTGACTGAAGTTTAATTTAAAACTATAGTGATGGCATAATTCGAAAGAGAAACCATACAGTCGCTTGATTTGTATTCTCTTATGGTTGAATCACTCAACATACTTATTACATCAGTTCATGAAGTTTCAACTAACTGTGATCATGTGAATCAGTTCACTCAACGTGACTACTCTTGTTATCCAGTCAAATCATCCAATCTTAATTTTAATAGGAAATTAGAACATATTTATATTTATTTAATTGAATTTTAGATTTTCCCTTCGATTGATTGGACCGAACGAAGTGCTCGGTCTCAGGTTGACATGTCGGCTTCTTGTGCAGATGCTTCGACGATGTCTGGGCATGTAATTAGAATTTAATTGGTGGATGGTGACTAGCAGTGGAATCCAGGACAACGCGCATTTCATCCTATTTGGGACCTGTCATCTGGATGTGGGAACATCATCACTCACTGCGGAATGCAGGTACATCCAGATGACGAGTCCCAAATAGGACGAAATGCGCTTTGTCCTGGATCCCACTGCTAGTCACCATCCACCAATTCTATATTTATATTTTATTCAGATTAGCTTTATTAATAACATTACTTTTAATAATTTTAATAATCTCCTTCCCTCTACTAAATTTATTTCTATTCCTTTTAATAGCATGAAACTCTGAGTAAAGCTGATGTAATACAATTAAGTTATTTAGGATTAAGCATTGTAAAGAAGCTTCGTTATCTAAGATGTGAGGTGAATGATGAATCTATTGATGATAAAATAATGCTGTATCAATCACTTACGCATGAAATTGAATCAAAAATTATGGAATGGAAGAAAGAATCATCAACACTTTTTGATACAGGAGAATGCGCTGTCGTAGAACAGAGAATTTCTACAGCTTTAGGTAATGAGTTTTGAAGTGTATTCATTTGATTAATTAAATTCAATAATCTTAAATTAGAAGAATTATTCAAATTATAATTTTCTATGGATTTCATTTGTTAGATTTCATTACGAGCCAAAATCATTTGGAGAGGTCATTGAAAACTGGAGAGTACTGGATAGCTATTTCATCCTAATTTGGGATTGTTCAACAAAATGAACCCAAGACTCCATCAGAGGTCGAACCTGGGACCTTGATTTTACGAAGTCAAACTCCCCTAGACCATTCAGACACTTGGGTCGGAATTCAATGACTCGTGAATTCTGACTTTCATACATTTATTCCCCTTAGTGAATTTGAATAAAGCAGGAATAACAGTTTTGCAGAATAAAATAGTACCATCATCGGTTATTTCGTTGGCTTCTCATCAGCTGCTTGCTTACAGCCCAAAGTCATCATAAAGTATATCTACAGAAACAATTTTAACATACTTGCACAGAGTTCATTTTCAAACAAAAATCAATCAATCAATATTTACATAGAGTAATATATCACTAAACACCATTCCGAACAATAATGATCATACACAATGGAAACTTTCGGCATTACGTATTCAGATGAAAGAGAGTTGATTATATGCAATTACTGGGTTGGCGAAGAAAGACTAATAACTGTTTCTTTCTGCACGTATAAATCAGGTTTCAAATGTCAAACAAATCACAGCGGTGAAAAAGCCAATCTACATTCAACTTGATTATAAAGGTGGAAACATTGCAGAACTGGTCTACAGAAGACTGAGTACGTCACTAGACAGAGCCTGTCCAGCAGCTGGTTAAGTTGGCTCCCGTCTAATCGAACAACTTGCTCTTTGGTGCAATCAAAAATCGGCAGATACCCTTCTCATGTTAACTCCAATTGTATGTACAAATTTACATGCGTCTGTGGGAGCAGTTACATTGGAAGGACAGAAAGAAGGGCATATCTACGATTTTCTGAACATGTACCAAAAAGCTTATGTCTAAAGGGAACAAATGCTTTAAACAGGGCCATCGCCAGGCATCTCCTTGACACGCGTCATGAGGTAGACGTCGCAAGATCGTTCAAAATTATCAATAGGCAAAAGAGTTCAATTCTCCTCAAGTTTGCTGAAGCCATCTCCATCAAGCACCTGAAACCTGATTTATGCGTTCAGAAAGAAGCAGTTATCAGTCTTTCTTTGCCAACCTGGTAACTGGATATTTTCACCTCTCTTTCATCTGATTACGTAATGTTGAAAGTTTCCATTGTGTATGATCATTATTGTTCGGAATAGTGTTTAATATTATATATATATATATATGTATATATGTATTTACTGTATGCACACATTGATTTATTGATTTTTGTTTAAAAATGAACTCTGTGCAAGTATGTTAAAATTGTTTCTGTAGATATATACTTAATAATGAATGACTTTGGGCTGTAAGCAAGCAGCTGATGAGAAGCCAACGAAATAACCGATGATGGTACTATTTTATTCTGCAAAACTGCTATTCTTGCTTTATTCAAATTCTGAGTTTGTTAGTTCGTGATATAGTGCCTTCAAAAAGGATCCACTTCACCTTGACATGGCTGACCCTAATGGACAGGACTTATCAGGATACTTTCAGGAAGTGTATGCTTATCTAAAGCACTGGTTTAGGAATGGTGTTATATCATGAAGTGACAATATTACAATTTATGGGTCCTTGTATTCCAGCCGAAGTGTGTGAATGGTCAACCAAGCTCCCGGGTCCAACCCCCGATTGGGTAGTGACTGCGTACTTCCAAAGAGTCTCAATCTAGGATGAAACAACTTTCAAGTTCTCTCTGGTTTTCAATGATCTCTGACTGATACTGGCGTTCGTGTTGAAATTTACGTTGGAATAATGACCTTGCGAAGATTTATTACAAACTACTGAAAATGTTTTTAAGTAGTCTCAAATTATATTCAAGAATAATGTTTTTTTCTATTTATTTATTTCAAAATTTTAACTTTTGAACGTTAATAGGATAATAAATGATAATAATTATCTGAAGTAAAGTGAGATCGAAATGCGAACTGTTCATTTTATTGGTCTAGTCACTTTCCAGACCTTAGTTTTTATTCCAGTCACTAAACCTTTTGATCATTATTGATGTCTTAAGCGGCCTAAAATTGGCTTCTAAATTTGATAATCTCATCAAAATACCAGATTGAAAAAGTGGACTGGTTACCTGACTAATTCACACAGAAAACTGTGTAGATTTGTGTCAGTTAAACTTGTTACACTTTTAAAAAACATACAAAAAACCAAAGAACATAATTGTCATGATATTACGATGGACAAAGATACGCAGGAACAAAGTAGTAGTTGTTGTTGTAGTGATCATATTCGGAATTTCGATGACTGTGAAGGGTGATGACGTTTACACCAGTGTGAGCAGTTTTGACTGTTACCATTCTGAGAACCATAGGCAGGTAATCAAAATTTCCTTAAGCGTACCTTATGAACAGTTAGTTTACGGTCACTCATGAGGTAATTACTCATAATTTATGAAAGCAATAGTTGACGAAAATAATAAAAAGACGAATACTTACGACTTTTTCAGTATGGAACATCATCCTGATAACAGGTATTGAATTCTGTGTTGGCATAAGATATCATATCCACTAAGCGTTTCTCCCTTACTGGCTGAGTTTGTAAAATATATGAGATTTCTCTGGGTTGGTAGATTGATATTTCAATATATTAAATATTCCCATAGTAAAATTTAGAACAACACATTTAAGCGAACAATATTGTGTTTTCAATTAGATCTCATCAGGCTTAACTCTAATATGCCTACATAACTTTACAAATAAAAATTCAAATATAAACCAATCATGGTGTTTTGTCCATAGGATAATACGATGGTGAATATAAATTGTGCAATTAGTCATAATAGTAGCAGTAATAATAATAATAATGGTTTTATCAATAATGAGGATGAAAAAGTGAGGCGATCTGTGATAACACGAATAATGAAAAACAGCATGGTTAAACAAACAAATGTTCAGGTAGAAGTAGTCGATAAAGGCTAGTAAAAACAAATGAACCGATTAAGTAATGCTAGATTGTAGGAAAAGTAAATGAAACACGTTTTTATTGAAGATACGATAAGATTAAGGGATGATAAGAGAGGGGTTGAAAATATAAGTAGGGTATGGTGTAGAAGTCATCAGTTGTTTATGTCTTAATAGGCAACAAGGGAGGGATAATGGCTGTTCGAACTTCTTTGAATGCATAGTAGACGAATACGACGTCTACTAGAATTATTCGTTGGAATACAATGAATCACTTTGAAAGCTCTCCTCTTTTCCACTACATGACCACTATCAACTAAATGTGACAAAATGGAGCTACGGATTGCTTTTGTCTGTCCTTTGACAAACCACGATATTTACATAATGGGAGGTGAATGTGAAATGAAGATTGTCAGTGGCGGCAAGTTTCGTACAAGCCACGCTCTGACCAGTCGTTCAGGACTTCACCAGTTCAGCTTTGAATTCTAACTGATTAACAGCGTACTTTATCACTAAAATTAATGTGAATAACTCCCAGTTGTTATGTGGAAGAATGACAGGTTATATTCGTTTATCGCAGAACTGACTACTCATACAACTCTTCTTCAGTATACATAGGATCAGTAGTTCAGTAGTAGAATGCTCACCAGCCACTCACGTGGTCCAGGTCCACTTCAAGGCCGACGCACTACTAAGCCACACCTAATGGTTAGTAAATCTGGATAAAAAGGAAGACCGCATATAAGACTATTCACCATCACTGCTGAAACTTGAAAGCTCAAGCCTGAAGCCCATTGTTTCACTCGGAATGCAAAATAAATGATACACAGGAGGCGAAGAGTATGTTATTTAATTGACAATGAGACACTCTGATACTGTCTTTAGATAATATAATTGAGAAGCTCTTTTACTCTGCTCCAATGATAATTTATTTTCTGAAGTGATCACATTCAACCAAACTTGTTGAATCGAATTCAAAGTGAGTGACAACTGACAGAATGTTCAGCTTACAAGAATAAAACTTGTGCACTGTGGTAGAGTATAATTACACTATTGGTAGAATTTATTTTGATAAAGTCTCACAGTGTTATACAGGAATATTTACTGATGACCACGTTTCGAGCACAATTTATTACTGCTCATAATCATATCAAGGCACTACTCACACAACTTTCTAACTTCGCTTAGATAATTCCATTATTTTCCATCGCTTGATTTGATTCGTAGTAGCAGTATTTTCCACATTTCAGGTATGAGTGATGAGTCATTCCTATTGCATGTGTTGGGTGTAGACTCGATGAACAAGGATTCAGTAATCAATCTCTCTCTCCACCTACCTATATTACTTTTTAGAATTTTAACCCTCTCCCACTACCCTATTGTGTGGTTGTGTGTTAATGCATGCAGTGCAATTGCTGAGCTTTTTTCTAAATTACTTATCTTCACGTGGGGTCAACCATTCTTACCTTAGCTAAATTCTTATGTTCTGACAAGCAATGTGACTACCCGTGACCTACTAGTTTGACCTATGTAGTTGACTACACTCACAGTCATTGCAGGGTATTTTGTAAATTATATTATTTTGTCTAACTGGGTCTACCGACAGGGTCCTTTAACCTACAGTGTTTGCCCCAGAGTGAGTTTGTAGGTTTGAATGCCACTCTAATTCCTGTTTTATTAGGAATCCTACGTAGGTTCTCAGATGTCCCCTCCTTATATGGTATAACAGTAGACGCCTTATATTCTCTCTTATTTATGTTATCATTACTAGTTTCACCATCATTTTTACTTTGCTTTTGTCCTTTTCTGATCTTCCTAATGAATTTTATAGGATAGTTAATTGATATCAACGCTTCTTCTATCCGTTTTATTTCATTTTCGTTACTGTACAATCCCAGTGGAACATAGGGCTTCAAGTTAGAGGCTTGAAGTTCCAGTAGCAGTGGTATTTATTTTT